GAATGGGATGATCATCCGAGTACGATATCTGAATTTTAAATGCTTTATAGTAGGATATAGTATTGCCAACAGCATCGTCTATAAGTTTTTAGCTTGCAGCTCCACAGATTTGTGAGTAGATCTCAATTGCTTGCAGAAGGATGATCTCAGATCCCATAAGCATTTAATCATCTGCTGAACTGGTAGATATTCAGAAAGTTCCAGCACTTTATTTTAAATACCATCAGGGCAAGTATTTGTGAACGTAAGAGGAGGCAGGCCAGCCTGTAACAAGTGGCTTTTGTAGGAGGGAGGAAAGTTAATGTGTGAATTTCTGAGCGTGTACATTAGAAATCTTGAGGAGATATATATTTTTACATTTTAAAGTATGATCTTAGAGAATGAGATTATGAGATACTAAGTTGCCTAATAAAAAAGGATACTTCAAAGTAAATTGTATTAATATTGCTGATTTCATATTTTCAATTCTGAGAATGATGCTGCTGTTGAAAATAAAGCATAAGTCGCCTTTTTTACATTTGACTGAAGTTTTTCATGACATGTAAATATTAGTTTCTGGCATTTAAGAGCATTTGATGTGTTTGGTGGCTATTTCATTGCACATTTAATATAATTCAGAGACTGGCTCTTGACTTTTGAGTTATGGGTGTTACTGGCATGTACCCTGACAGAATAATATCCCATCAGTTTGGTGGGGACTGGTGAGAAGGTGGTTGTGAATTCAGAGAGGGTAAACTCCTGATGGTGTGGTAAGGTAGAAGGTTTATAATTTTTCAAATGAATCTTGTTAGAGAAATGCCAAAGGTTTGGATTTTCATTGATCATCCAAAAGCTTCAAGATAATTAGGGAGAAAACTGTGTTGTTACATGGAGTAACTTTGCCAGTCCTTAGTCCCCTAAAGGTATATTTGAAACCAAAGTGCAAAGTTGTAAAAGTCGGAGAAGTTGGAAAATATTTTGACAAAATCTGCTTATTTCCCTTGGCTCAATAAACAAACAAGAAATTTTCTCCATTAAAAGCTGTAGGGAGGTGCCTTTTCTTAAGCCTGATTTCCCAAGAAAACGTGATTTATGCTTTTTGCTTGTTTTCTCTCATTCTTTCCTTACATATTCGCCAGTAGCTTTTGAAATCATTGACCAATTGTGACTGTGTTTGTAGGAGGGATAGAAATCTCAAAGACCATAATGTTCCTATAGGTTTTGGGAAAATAGACAAACTGGGTTAGAGAGAAATGTGTCAATAACCTCTCTTGAGTGAGAGCTAATGCGATGCGAGTTTGGCACTGACCTGTTTTTTTTCAGCACATGCTGGGTCTGTGTTGGATAGAACAGGAGATGGTTGGATTTGCCAGTGGGGCTTGAGACAGGCAGAACATCGACTTTTGAAGGGGATGGGGACAGGGAGTATCATGGTGAGTCAGAGGGACGACAGGAGGGAAGTTGGCTTCTCATGGTGGGTGAAAGGAGAGGATTGCTATCAGAACTGTGCTTTACTGCCAGCTGAAGAACTTGCTTAATGATAATCTGGTAAAAGATATTTTGACTGTTAACCAGGGAATTACTGTCCTGATCAGAATTAGATGATACTAAGTTCTACTTACTGCAGGGCTGTCTGACTCTTGGTTTGGTTTAGTATATAAAATAAATCCCTCTGAAATTAGAATATTAGCTTCAAGCCGTGATTAAGTTCATATTTTCCAATCGTTTTAGGGGGGGGAAAAAAAAGTATTTCTGGTGTATTTCTTTGAAAAGACTAGAACTTAGACCTCGCTTTCAGTCGTAAAGATGAAAAGAAAGTGTAACTTAAGCTTAAGAAATAGGACTTTTCCATTTAAAGGCCATAGCATATAAGTGCTTTTAATAGTAGAGAGATAAAACTGAAAGGATGCCATCTAAAGATTTCTGTTTATACCAGTTACTGTATGAAATATGTCCATTAATAGCCAAAAAATAAGATTTTTCTCTCAACATAAGAGCAAAAGATAGTACCTCCCAAATGGGATTGCCTGTAAGCCCACTCCTCTGTCTTGTAACATGGAGTTACCTGTTGAAGTGCAGAAGGAGCTGGACTTCTGGTTCTTTCCTGTCATGCCTATATTTACATTACTTATTAATCATGATAAACAGCAGACTGAAATTTACCTCATTATGTTCAACTTGTAAGATTTTATCAAGTCTTAATGGAGAATTGTAGTGTGTTCTGCTGATAGGTTTAGAGAAACTCCTCATAGACTTAGTAATGGTGAAAGTGAAGAAAACTTTAGCTTGCCACTTTCATTGCTAGAGAATTCCCTGCTTAATAATATCAAATATACTTTTCAAGCCTTCAGTAATCAATAACAAATTTTATAGTAGTCACAAATTTCAATTCATTAATTTCAAGTATTCAAGTACTTCAGTTTTAATATATCATAACCGACTGCAAAATACTTAGGTGACTTTGACCTGTGCTTATTTAAAGTAGTTTTCATAGTAACAACAAATATTCTGAAGGAAACCGGATTTTCCTCTGACTGAGTAGAAAAGAAAGAAGCAGCATGAATCACAGCTTCCAAGAACTGTCAGAATAGGAATGCAGATTCTCCCCCACGCACATACACACTTTCCTTGCTGCCAATTTTAATGTAGTAATGTGATTTAATAGTTTTTCTTGCCATCCACAGCAGCAACATTCATTATATGTGATCAAGCTACTACTAGCAGTTGAGTGGCTGAGGATGAAACTAGAGTTTGGAACTAGTATGGTAGTTCCAGTGATAATTGTTTAACGTCTCAGCAATTTTGCTTAAAATATGTTTTCTGAAAATGTTGTTAAAATACTGTACTTCAGTGTTTTTCAAATATATTTGTTTTTCCAGCTCAGAAGCATTAGTTAAACATTTTGTGCTGCACTAAAGCTTTGCATGGTGTTTCATAGATAATAAGATACAGTTCCAGCCTTGAAGAGCTTGTGATCTGAATTTCACTGACATAGAAAATGAGGAGAATGACCTCAGAAAGGGGGACAGGGATTCAAATGAATGAATGAATTAAACAAGTTGTCGTTTCGAAGAACAGAATAAGGTAGATCAGCAAGGAGGAAGATGGGAATATAGAAGCGAAAGACAGCATAAAACAAGTCCAAATAGTATAGGGATTTGAAGGAAAAGAGGGAAAATGTGTTATTTTGCGGGATCTGGAAAGCATAATGAAATCAGAAGAGTAGTCTGAATCAAGATGAAGAGTAACTAGAAGGTGTTAGGAAATGAGGCAGGAAAAAGATATGTAGAAACTTACAAATTATGTTGATGGGCTTGGCTTTTATGAAGGAAAAAAAAGATGAGACAGGAAAAGGATTTGAGAATGTGCTGGTTTGATCAGTTTGGCAGGAAAGTCAGAACACAAATTTTAGTACTAAGAATTTTTTTTTAACCCCTTAAGAAATTGAGCTGTCAGTTTAACTTGCTTTTAAAGTGAGTGGCGAAACAACAGGCAACTGTGCCTGAAAAGTCAATGTCAGACATTCTGTTACTACCTCCTATTACACCCAGTTTCTGTATAAGCTGGAGGACTTCTTATGGGTTTCAGCATGAAGTGAGGCTGTAGAAGCCTCCTTCAAAGGTAATTGAGGCACTAGCACTTTAAGTCAAAAGGATCACAAACTTTCAATTAAAATAACTGAAATTGCTTTTCAAAAGTATTTTAGTTAAACTGGTACTACCTTTATATGGACAATTAAATTTATAGTTGATTTACATTGAGTTATGTTAATATTTGTATTGCTGGCATAAGAAAAGAGAAACAATCTCTCATAGACTTGTATAGATTGTTTTTTAAAATGACACCTAGACACTTTTCCTTCCCTATATAGTTTGTGATTTCTTATCGATATACTGGTATTTGATTCAAAACTTGGATTTCTAACATCCGAATAGTTTGGTTTACTGTATAGAAAAGTAGAGAAGTAGATAATAATGGTCTGCCTTTCTTATCCCATTAGGCTTGTCCAGTAGACCTTCTTCAAACACTGGCGTCCTCCTTCCCCAGTTTGATAGCTGTTTCCTTCTATTTTGTATGTACTGAGGGCGAAGGTGGTGAAGAAACGGGAGTTTTGAAGTTCCTTTTTTTGTTACCTTATGTCAAAGGAAATCTGTCTATCCTTGCATATGACAGAAGGAAATAGATTTATGTAAACCTTAAAGGATATACTTTGCCACATGGGAGTGCTGAATAGAAAGTATCGATAGTGATAATTAGCAGTAGTATTCCCAGCAGGATTGTCAGCAATGAGATATTACCAAAATGATGCATGCATATTTAAAACACAGCATGGTAGGTAGGAATACAGAATTTGTGATTTGTAGTAGACAGAGAGCTATTTCTTTGTGGAATAGAGTGTTTGTGCATAGAAATCTCTATTGTATAGTTAGCTTCTGCTCAGTACTGCTTACTGAAATTAGTTTTTCATTAGTGAGGGGAAGATGTTTGAGTCTTTCTTATGCTGTTGTGTGCCATGTTCTCTGAGAGTTTTAAACTGTGTTTTGAGGTAAATCACACGTCCTGTTTGAACCATAATACACACAGAGAGTTAAGATTGTATTGATATATTTTCTTTCCAGAAATTTACCTGGTGTATTACTGATGTTCTGCAAGGTCTTAATATACCCCAAAGCAATTGTAATATAATAATTGTAATATTAATGGTTTGTAGGCAGTGTTAGAACTGTAACTTAATATTCCCATTAGGTTGTTGCATTTGCCTCACAGATTTGGATTTCAGGCAGTGCCAGAGCTAAGTAGAAGATGGCATGCAATTTTGAAGTTCTCCTTCATGTGTATTTGCTTCATTATGTTGAATAGAAGAATTGAAAAGTGAAATTGTGGACAGTTTAGGGATGGAAATAAAGTGACTGAAATGTCAGGAGAAAAAACTGAGAGCAGCAATCAAGGGCTCACCTTTAAAAGTTGATTTGAATGGATTCATCTTTAGAACTGTGGGTTTTCTTGTTGTTGTTTTTCAGAAGACTGTGCCAAAGAAGACTTTTGCTCAGATGACATCACATTTGGACTACTAATGCTATCCACCCACTCTACAAGGCACAATGCATTTCTAGGTAATTTAAGTAAGTATGTAGATTTTATTGCTACTAGAACAGTAATGCTTCAAACAGAAGCATCTCTCTTTCAACTTCAGGCAAGGTAGACATTCTACTTCAATTTGAGATTGAAATTAATGTGTGGGGGCAAGAATAAACTTAAGCTTTTAATAAGCTTTCATCTGTGAACACAGAATGAAACAATTGAGCTAACTGTACCTGAGCTGCCTTGGAAACTAGAAGGAAAAAAAAAAAAAAAAAAAGCCATGATGGCACTGTCCCAAGCAATGAAGCATGCTAATGTGGCCCTGTGGTTTTTTCAGGCTGAATTAATATCTCTCTCAGGATGTGTTGCAGTGAATGAGCATGTGTATTGCCATGCTCACAGCTTTTCTGGGTGGGTGTTTTCTTCGTGGATGCTCTTGTCAAAGTAGAGATGGGCTTAATACCCCATTAAGGTAAGAATATATAGGAAGCAGAAGAATGCATCTTGATAGGTTCAAGTAGCAATATCTCTGTTCACATGTCATCTTCTTTGAAAGGGATGCATCTCCCCACTTTCTTGTTGGACACTATCCAGCTGAAGATGGGCCAGGAGGTTCAGATCTTCATCTTTGCAAGATTTGTTCATATCTTATCTTGCAGTAAAGTTACTGATTACTTTGTAAATCTGTGGTCACACAAAGAAGCATAGAACAGACAGGGTAGTTTGTTTAAGGTTAATTTTGAGTGACAAAGGGGTTCTGATTTGATGTATCATGAAGATCACGGCCATGACCCTCTGTAGCCTCCATATGTGTTTATATGCTTTTTCTTTCTAAGTAGATATTATTGTTAAACTTTTTCAGTTGTTACATTGTTTTTTTGACTGGACCAAAACACCCCAAGAAACGGATCTATTTAGGTATATCAGACATTGTGCCAATTTTACTGAAACTAGATTATTTTGTCTTGCTGGCAGAAAGCCTTCCTATATTCCTAATGGCTTATCATGTGTTGGAGATGTTTGGTCATGCATGAAGTTTGGTCGTGAATGAAGTTACAAGTAGCAGTGTTATTAATGATGCTTGACACTTTCTATTGTAAGAGTCTGATTTTAGTTGCTTATAATTTAGCAAGACTTAAATCACTGAGGAGTAATTCTTTGTGTTATATATCTGCTTCAGCTGAAACTTTACCAAAAGTCATCCTGTGTCTGACAATGAGATACAGGGAAGGAATGTACTGTTTTCTGGATTCAAAATGCAGTCAGAATCTTACCACTGGCAAGATAAAGCACCTGCATATGCTAGAGCAAGTACTCAAGGTTTTAGGAGGAAACAAACTGTTATGCTGCAGAATCAGGCTTTTTTATTTTTTTTGTGACATCCCAAATTCTTATGTTAGGTAGCACGATAGATTTCTGAAAATACAATTTGTACGAGTTCAGTGACTTGCCTAAATCCATTTCATCTGTCCAAATCAGATGAGGTAGATATATTCCAATTCCTTTTAGTCATAACCAGACAGAGCTACTGAGCATGTTCTAGCTGGACTGTGAGAGGTAAACAGGCCTCATCTCTTCCAGTTCATTGTAATGTCAGGTACCAACACTGATTAAGGAGACTTCTGCACTCCTTGTGCTTTTCCTTAAACCCAACCCTCTCTACTGGTGATGCTGTTCTTTAAGTGCTGCTTCAGTAGTATATTTCCATAACTGTTGTGTGTTTTTGATTCAGCTTCTCGATATTATTTGTTTTTTCTTCTTTATTGCTGCTCTTGTGTTCGGAACAGATCATAATAAAACAGATTGTTTTGAACAATGCATACCGTATGTGGTTAAAAGTTACAAAAGTCTTCTTTTTGGGCATCCTGAAAACTTACCCATGCTCTTCATCTTTGGTGCTGCTTCTCAAGTAACCTTTTTAGACCGTAAGGACCTGCTTTGTTTTATTAAAAATTTGTGTTTTCCAGGGTGTACTTCAGCTTTATTTATTACTTGTCGCTCTGTGGGCCATTTTCTTTCAACCTATACATGTCCAGTAGTCCTTGTGTTTCTTACTCAGACCTTTTTGTTTTTTTTATTAACTTGTGCTGAAAATCCTCAGTTTAAAACTGTTCTTAAGTTGTAGAACTTTTGTATTTACTTATATTAAAAAATCTTTTTATACATCTTTTTCTTAATGTATTTTATAGAAGCATGAAAAACAAATAACTAGAGAGAAAATACTTCTGACACTGATTTGTAGAAATAGAAGAGAGATTTGAAAGTATTTGAGCTCTTTCTCACTGGCTTATGTGCATGTGTGAGTGCTTGCAGTAGCGGCTGTGTGATTCTCTGGAAACATGCCCACATTGCTACTTGTGCAAAAACACATTTACTCAGGAGAACAGTGAAGTCAAACCACTGTCTTATTCCAACTTGTTCTTATACACCAGCTGTAGAAGTGCAGTGAATAAGGAGTAGCAGCAGCACAGTCAGAGCCCATCCACGAGGAACGGGAAATGTAGTATCGTAGGGCAGTTAGTTATGTTGGTTGTAATTACTGGGGCTATTCTGCCTACTACAGTGAAGAATAATTGCAACTGATTAAATCAAAATTTGTTTAATAGGGTATAGAGAACTAATGATCTGAAAATGATCTCTTGGTTCCTAACTGAGATTTAAGGGAAAAAAGATTGTTTCTGAGCAAACTAAGAGATTATCCTAGGTTGTACATTTGGATCAGAGGAGTTGAGTTAAATCAATAAAATAAAATAGTGGAGTTGCTGACCAAAGCAAAGGTATGCCCTGGGTCAGGTGGAGAGGGGGGAGAGGTGATATGTGGGAGAAAGCACTACTCTGTCTAAATATTCAAATTATGAAACAAATGAAGATGAATTTACAAGACAGTCTGGGGACTTCTAGTTCCACTTTCTTTTGCTGAAACTAGAATTTGTGGTGTGAAGGATGATCTTAATGTTTCTAACCCTCCCTTTTGCTTATTATAGGACTGCACTGAACTTCCTTTTCAAATATTTTGGGTTTTTTTGGGCATCTGATATTCATGAGTTACAAGAAGACAAAATCTGTGTTCAGTATAGGAGTAAATGGAACGATTTATTGCTTCTTAGATTTTTATGGATTAAAAATGTATTATTGAATTAATATTCAAATTCTGTAATTGCTTAATAGGTTTTAAAGAAATCAGTGGAATAAGTTGTATTTAATGTTGATGAAAATTGCTGCAAACTGATTTTTTGTTATTAAAACCAGCATTACTTACAAACTCTGGATTTTGCTTTAAAGCCCAGGTCTACACAGAAGAAAGCTTCTGAAATGAAAAGAATTGTCATTATACCTAAAATTTTCAATTTACGTATGTGTGAATGTTTATATGACGTTGTTCAGTGGTTTGTTTTTTGTTTTTCTTAAAAGGCAATTTTTCTTCAGGAATTGCTTTAAAGAGATCTGATTTTATTTTCCTATAAATTTTAGAAAATGCAGAGTGAAGCCCATTCTTTCATTTGCAAAAATATTCTGGAAAATTACTTGGATGTTGTATATTGAATGTCAGCAAAACTAGGTGAGTCTCTGAATATTTTGATTGTTCTAAGCAACTAACGAGTTAATTGTGTGACAAAATCCTGTTTATAACTTACAACGCTAAGAGAAACTCTGGCATTTAACCTAAAAATCTAGATTAAATTATTATACAAACAAATGACATAGCTCAGGAGGAAAAAAAAAAAAAAGGCAAAGATTAAGCAATATATTCCTGGCTTTACTCCTAAGGTAAAAAGCTGTGTATATGCAAAATATATTTTTATCTGGTGCTTGTGTAATGAAGTTCTTCCATAACAGAAGCTGCTTGTTTAGTTTCCCTTAGCATTTTTGTGTTCTGTGTTCCTGTGGCTGTTATCAGAGATGATGTTTAGAACCAGGCTAATTTCAATCTTACAGTAGACCAATATTCCTGTGTCATTAATCTGATTTTTCTCAATTCATATGGTTGATTAGCACTGGATTTAGAGATCAATTTGAATGATTGAAGCAAACACATGTTCGTCTTCGGCCCTTTTGAATTTTGAGGTAGCGCAAGGTAAATCACAGTGGTAGTGCTTACATACCTGTCTCAGTCTGCACCATCTGAATTTCCAAATAAAAAACAACACTGACAGCTCTTCCTGAAAGATCAGGGATGCCAGAATTTTCAGTTTTCTTTTGCTGTAGTTAATAGCACATGTAATGTGAGGAAATAAACAAATCAGAAAAAATCTGAAGGAAGTAAGGGGGAAACAAGAAAAGAAGTAAAATATTTAAAGGGGAAAAAAAAAGCATGTAAAGATGGAGTGAAGGAAAATTGATAGGCATATCCAGTTTTATGTCTTCTGCTGAATTCTGGAATAGGAGAAATAAATTCTTTTTGTGGTTGCCAGTAGATTGCCATGTACCATGATCTCTCTCTTCCCCCCCCCCTCTTTTTTTTTTTTTTTTTATTGTGGTGAGGAGTTATGAAGAAAAGCTTACAGAATTTTTCTAGAGTCTTTCAGTACCTTCAAGTATTCTGTTTTGAGAGATGACACCTACTTTGGTTAGTCTGGTTCAGAAAGGTAGGATATAATTCCAGTGTATGCATTACCATTTTGATTTGAATCATTAATACCGTTTTGTGGAAAATATATCTCCCCTTACCACGTAATTGCTCAGGCTGTTTGAACTACATTCCTTTCCCAGAAAACTGCTTTGTAAGTTCTGCTGCAGATAGTGCTCTTCTGTCTCTACAGGGGGTATACAGGTCTGAATCAGTTATTAAATCCCGGAAGACTTTGAATGGCCTGTGTGATGGTCATGTTTGCTTCTGGAAACCAGATGGAATTTAATCCAAAATAAACCCTCTGGAACAGCTAGCATAGGAGCGTCAGCACCAGCTGCTTTGATCTACTGATCCATTTCTACTGTTCCAGACTACTTTCTAATGGAGACATAGCCAAAGTTGTTCTCTTTTGTTATAGGTCAGTAGATGAGGGCAACGAACATCTGTGACACCTGTCTATTCTACAAATTCAGTTATGAGTTTTGGTGCTAATATTCCCAATTTTCTAAGTGCCACTAATGTTCTTTGCGACTTTTGTTAATACAAACTCTCAAGGAAGCAAATACTACAAGTGATAGTGAATCAAATGACTAAATCGTAACTGCCTTTTGAAATATTGATCTTTTAGTCTGTTTTTCTTCCCTGCTTATATTCTTAAATTGTTAAAAATAGGAGTCTTTTGATTTCTTTCATTTCATAATTTTTATATAGAATTCTAAAATTTGTATACTTCCCACCCCGAGTGTTTTGCTTGAGCTGCTCATCTGCATTGAAAAAAAACCCAAGTCCAGTGTTTTACTGAAGACATTAAGTAGGAGCAAGACAGAAAATGAAAGAGATTGTCTTTACAAGTGTTTGCAGTTATTATCATCTTTCTGTGCATTGAGCTGTCATGAATCAAGACAGATTTTTAAATTTTTTATTTCCCCTGGACTGAATTCCTCAATTTGAGGTTGTAGGTGGCAGTTGTTAAGGTTTTGAAAATTTAATATTTAATTGCCAATGTCAAATCATTTTATCTTGAAGTAACAGTTATAAGAGTTTTCCCCATCTGCCCTGTGTATTTTAAGTTCAGAGATTTCCAAGAATTTTGCACGTTTACTGCTAATATAATATCCCACATGTCTAAGCCAATGGTTAGGACTCAGCTCAGTTATATTTCTTGTTTGTTAGATTTTTGCAGAATTTAGGTCTTAGCTTTCAGCATTTTTTCCCAGAAAATTTTCAAGATTCAATTAAGATTCCTAATGAGAGGGATATTTAAGTCAACAACCCCTTAATGTAATAATTAAAAAAAAAAAAAACAAACTTAAGGCTGTAGCAGCACAAATAGCAGTGTTTTGAGAATTTTTGTTGGTTTTTTTTGTTTGTTTGTTTTATTAAAGCCAGTGATTTTTTTCAAACTAAGTTATTTGCAGTGTTATTTAAATTGTTTTTATTTAGTCTATTCCCTCATGTTTATGCTAATTGCAACATATTATAAAGTTAGCATATTTTATTCTCCTAGGCTTAAGCATCTCTCCATTCAATTTGTATAATCCATTCTAAAAGAGCGATTATTACTGCCACGTGTGCATGTAGCACTTTAGCCCAGAGGAGTGGTTGAGTTACCATCCCTGGAGGAATTGAAAAGATGTGTAAGTGAGGTGCTTAGGGACATGGTTTAGGAGGGGTGGACTTGGATCTTAAAGGTCTACTCCAACCTAAATGATTCTATTCTTTCCTAAAAAACCAGTGCATTAAGTAAAAAATAATAATTAGCTGATTTGGGAGGGGACCTCACTGAGGCAGGTACAAGCTTCAATTTAAAATGAAAAAAAAAAATGTTGAGAGTCAAAATGTGAGAGTTGGAAGCCATCAAGTTATGAAGAATCCTCATTATTTTAAGTAGTCTTGCCTTACAGATATTGCACTGTTGTGTTGATTTCATTCTGACTCTATTTGCATGTTTGTTAACATGTTAGGCATAACTAAACTGTTTTGATCCTTACTCTATACTTAAATACAACACAGCTGTTTTCATTAGCTTATTAGCATGTGGCCTAAACATATACTTTATATTAGTTTCAGGATTTTTGTGAATATTGATAGCTTTTGAAATCCCATTCCTCAATACCAGTGTTAGTCTACTAGCAAGATCCTAGGTCATTGAAACGATATTCACAATGTTCTGAGTGGAAGAGAATTGCCATTAAAAATAAAACCTGATTATAGTTTTACTTTTTGATAACTGATATATTAATTGAAAATTGGAATAGCTATAATGCCTTTATAAATACTTTCTTAATGTTACTTTTCAGGACTTAAGGGCTGGATGATCTAAATGAGATTCTGTTAATAAAAGGGGAAAAGAGCCTATAGGGGGGTAGGTTACCACATTTGCTTTGATTTAAAATATTAATTGTAAAATACATCTAGTTCAACTTGTTTTTTAACTAGATCCTACTTCCTAGTTGAGATGTCAGTCTTTTAAGCAGTGCTAATTTTATCATCTGCAGTAACAACCTGGAGGGGAAGGTTCTAAATGTTTGCAAATAAAATATCGTGGTACTAATTTGGGAGGTGTTGAGAACTTGATAGTGCAGAGAAGGCTTTGAGGGGCAAGAAGTGAGCATACTGAGATGTGTTTTGGTAGATAGAAATAGTGTGGTCTGATCATTCTGTGAAAGAAAAGCTTGAGAAGTGGTGAAAGAGAAAAAGAAAAAAGCTGAGGAAAAGAGATTAAAGTCATGTAAATGTAGTGAGTATGGTCCTGAGTAGTTCATATGATTTTGTGTTGAGTATTGTAGATGGTAGAAAGGGCTAACAGTTCTCCCATAAATAAATGTGAAGACTCATTTGAAACTTTTAAAAGTTTATATGGAAGTATCAGGACAGAATCTGAATAAAAAAAAAAATACAAAAAGGAGCTGAATTTTGTGACCTTTATTTTCTTTATAACCTAATCTTGAAAATTCTTATCTCAAATATGGTAGCAAGAAAGATTAAAAAAGCTTGGCTTAGAAATTCCTCAGTTATATTAGGTTTTATGTCTTTCAGTCAATGTCATGATCTTAACATATTTTTGAAAGATCTGAGGGAATGGGAAACAACTGACAGAATTTTTGCTATGATTGTTGAATTAGTCTGCAAGGTCCTAAAAACCTTCATAAAAAAATTCCCAATGCTTGATGAGTAATATTGTCGTCATAATTAATCAACTTAATTTAAAATTAAATTGAATGCACTCAGTGTTTTGAACAGCATACTGATCAGTGGGAACAAGGAATTTCTTGGTGTTTCACTGCTGCTCTGGTGACCCTCAGAAGGTGAAATCAGTAGGTTTTCTGGACTTGCTTAGTCAACACAAGCTCTGAAAGTTTCTGCTCATTTCAGTAGCAAGCCACAAAGGAGGAGTGCATGTTGCTGCTGCTGAGGTGTATGAAGAAAGAATATGAGCAAATTTGATATCTACATAAATTGATAATATTTTAGAAACACAGAATGCTAAAAATTGGTTAAATGTTACAGTGCTACTTCAAGCTATACTTCTCCTTTGAACAGTGTTTACTGAGCGTTCAGAAATTCAGTTGTGTTCAGTGCTCTAATATTGGAATATTTAAGTAAAGAAGTTCTGTCTTTTTTTAATTTCCATATATCTAAGAACATATGCATGCAGAATGATTACAGTAAAGTTACATTAAATTTAGGGTTGATTTTATATGTTTTTTTCTATTGCTGCATTGCTGTTTCTGCTTAGTTCATGCAGTACTATCCCTTTTGTTAAAATAATGTACCATCTCTCTTGTCTGAGCAAGTCTGGTTATTGGCTAAATGTTGGCTGGTGTTCCATTTCCCTTTGATTCTTGCTTATAGCAGGGTGGCAAAAGGGTACCTAAGAACCATCCCCAAAGTGGTTACAAACAGTTTTGCAAAGGGTTTCTAGGACAAGAAAAGTAGTTTTTCTGCCTTGGTTTTGTATATTCTTTAGCCAAGACAACAGTCAAGACATTTCTTCTCTGTACCGATTGCAAAACTTTTTTATTTTGTTTTGTTTTTCCCCTTTCCTGTTAAGGCACTTCTTGCCTATGTAATATGAAGGACTTGTCCTGTATCTCAGGTTTTGCAATCACTGTAATTCCAGTTGAGCCTGGATAGTTATATTGAAAGTTCTGATAAAAGAGTAACTCTAGTGTTTTGTTTAATGAAATTAAGGAGTAGTGCAATGCAAGGGTTTGGAATTCTGTAACTATAAAAGTGAGGTTTTATTTAATGTATAAACTTGTTCTTTCTATAACAGGTAGTTGTATTGGAGGAAAAATTGAAGGATCCACTGTCAGACACCAGAATTTTAGAAAAGTAAGTCTTTACTTTTGTTAAATCTTGTTAATCTTGTGAACATAATAGTAAGCATGCTAATACAGAAGTGTGTTTTGGCACATCTTTTGTGAATACAGTGACGTTAGCATCCCCTGGCATTTCCCTTGTTTTGTTTAGTTCTGTTTTTCTACTACATCATTCTTTGTTCTTTTGTTACCACTTTCTGGTCTCCTGGATGAGGTGCCGGACTTCTAGGGGAAAGGAGTGGGGGGAGGCAGGGAGGAGGAGCTGCTTGTTTGGTAATCTTTGACTTGGACTGTTGGAGCTTAAAATGTTCCTACTCCCTCGTTTTATGGAAACATGAATGTGAAGTCTCACTTCATTCTTTCTGAAGAAGCTTTCCAGTGAAGTGCACTGCCTACTCCATTCTTCAGGCAGTCAAACAGTCCACTCTTCACAAAAGCTTTACAGAATAATTTAGCTCTGCATGAGTCACCCGCACTGGGAAATCTAAGCATCAGAAGCATTTTCACAGCTGCACAAACGGGGGATTGTGCAATCAACTTGGAAAAAAAATTATGCCTATCACTAAATATTTTTAAAGTGTTTTATTTACGTTTACATTTCTTCATGAGATGGATAATTAAGTTTCAGATTAAATATTAGCTTTCTGAAACACCTGTCACTTGTTCTTGGGTGTTGCTGTTAGCAGCTGTCCTGACCTTTTTTACTATATGTCTATTTGGTACACTTACACAATTCTAAGAGTTAAAAACAGCTGATGTTAGTATAAATCATTCTCTCACTAAATATTCTTTAGTTTCATATTATTCATTTAGGTGAATACCCTTGTATAACTATTTGAACTGAGGATCATCTTAAAATAGACACAGTTCATGCTGATTAATATGTTACTTGATAGATTGATAACTACATAGCAACACATCAGGTATTTATACTTCTGTGCTTTACTTTTTGCTTGAGTTTCCCATTGATTCTAAGGTTGAGTTCCGGATTTGTTTTCATATCCAGAAGCTGATCCATGAGTCTGGACAAGTGTAAATAAACAAACCTCATTCTCTCCAGAAATTTCATTTGTCGTGGTTTGCCATATGAGATGCAGCAATGCATGGCAGAGTACAGATGTTTAATTTAAATAGGAAGCAGACTTCTTAAGTAGTAGCAGCTACAAAGCTCATTTCTTTGAGCACAAATTTGAATCTCATTTTTCCTAATTTTGTTCTCTGGTTGTAATTTAACACATGGTGTAGGTCAGCATGAAAAGGCATTGTTGCCAAAAGATGTCCAACCTGGTGATTCACTGCTTCCTGTTCTCTTGTGCCAGCACAGCGTTTGAGCAGCCATATGGTGAAACAAATGTAGTTGATGTAGCTGAATGAAACAATATTTGGGTTAGTTTTAGGCTGGACCAGTTTTAAGCTGTGTTGACTACGTGATCACAGAAACTAATGCTAGCAGAAGAGAGGGAATTTAATATCAGTGTGGAAATGAGTGGTCAACGTAATGATCAAAGTTACGAGAACTTTCTGCTTTACCAAGGAGTTTGGTAAAAGTGCTTACAAACATAAATAACTGTTAGGGTGTGAAGTGCCTAGTGTTTGTAGCCATGTAGTTACCTGCATGGTCTATGTATATATTGGTCTTGCTATCTTACATGTGGTAATTCTTCACCTGCAGACCGATTCAGAGGAAGTACTTAGTCTGTTTTTCCCACATCTAGGTGAGTACCCAGTCCTTGAGTTAGGCATGTCTCCGTCTTCTGCTTTAAAAAAATAAAATATAAAAAAAAAATCATTTAATTGTCTGGCATGACATGCTGCTTTCCCTCTGCCCCCTCCACCCCTTTTTAATGTGTGCATAACTGAGAAGTGGTAAGATGTTTCTGGATGTGCTAGATAGTGGTATCTTAGAGGAATAAGTTGTTAATATGAAATACTTATTTGTCCTGTAAAAGGTAAGGTGAATTATAAATCAAGCAAAACTGATTTAAGACTCATAACCTTGAAATTTTTCCTAAATGGACGTGAAAGGCATTGGGTACAGAAATAACTTGCATAACTTCTTACAGACCCTCTTGGCCCTCTGTTGACTTCCTGGTTTTCTGAGGATTCTAGAATGCAGTAGTAAGAACAGAACAAGAAATTTTGACTGAAGATTTTTCCAGATTAGGCAGTGTTCTTTAGGTAAAAATATAAGTGTTCATTTGGCTAGAAAAGCTAATAAAATCTTCATTGGGTAGATTTTTCTGGTCTAGGGTAGAATTTTGGAAATATTAATTTGTGTGAATTTCAAACACTGCTTTTTAGCTACTTTTCCCACCTTGCAACACACACACGCATACTAAAAGTCCGGCATTTGAAGTGCTCACCTAACATGGAGGTTAATGTTTTTCTGCAAGGTTAGTTGTAGTGGATAGCTGAGTGTTATTGCAGTAATAATAAATGTAAAGTCTCATTTTCTAAATTTAAACATGAGTTTATATCAACACCGAGCAGAAATTTTGTATGGAATGGAAGAAGAGTTTACTTAGTGTTATCTTGCTCTGAATGTGTAACAATTATGTCTGATGAATTTGAGAATGAATTTTCTCCAGGACAGGTTTCAAAATTTAGTTTACTTTCTATATCTAGATATCCTTCCCTCTTATTATTAGGGTAGAGGAAAAACAATGTTTAACTCTTTGATCTGTTTCATTTCTTGGTCAATTTTCATGTATATTTTTCAGTGTAGGAATAAAGTATTTAATAAATTTTTCCTGTTTGGTTAGATTTATTCATATTCCTGGATTATTTATGCTCGGAGGAAAATATGACAAAGCATTTTAGAGAAATTGCGTAAAGTAACGTCTGTATCTGCTACAAGACATTTAAAATTGCTAATGCTCTCTTTTTAAATTTGTAATTGGATGAATCATTTCAAAGTGTTTTAACTCCAGGATATTGATATCTTGGTACCCTACTATAAAGTTTTCTGAAATCATAAAGTGAAGAACTGTTTTTTATTTTTTTTTTGATCTGGTAACTTTATTCTGTTGAAAATTGTTGCTTTGTATGTAACATAATTTTTCTGGGATAATTAGTAATAGTCATTGGGAATTTAAACTTCTGAGCACATGGTGTGGTATTTTTTCCCCTTTTGAACTTCTGAAAAAGCCCTGTCAGTTGCCTACTGTCTCAGTTCTGTTTGAGGCCTGAAGAAGGAAGCTGGGATTTTTTTGTTCGTTGTAAAATATACCAAGTTTAGATGCCTTCTGGGAGAGAGAATAGCGGGCTCTCCAGATTCTACGCCATCTACAGCACTTTCTCTGCAGCATGATGAGTGTTAACTCAGTGTCAGTTCTTGATCGGGCTGGCTGCACGTTGTTTCTGCCTAGAATCCCATTAAAGGAAGTGGAGATTTACAGAGATGTGAAGATACTCAGTTTTGAAATGTAACACTAAGAGGTTAGTTTGCCTTGGTCAAAACTCATGTGAAGTACTGTTTATTTGTTAAGCACCATTTAAGGGGCAGTTGGTGCATTTTTCAGCCAGGCTTGATTATGAGCTAAATTGTGTTTTAGATGTGCAAATGCAATGCAGAGGCTTAGGTCTAACCCACGGTTCCCTATTGCAAATCCAGCTGTGACATGTAAAGAGGTTTCTGCTCCCCTTTTGAGAGGAGTACTGTTTCTCAGCTGTGCCAATGTTCAAACGTACACGAAGTCACACTCTTCTTAATAAGAACAAGATAATAAAGATTGTATTTCAAACTGTGTGATATGTGGGTTCTTTTAGACACATCATTTTAAAATCTGCTTCAGTGTGTGGCCGGATCTGAAGAGGTGCACACTTCCAGTGAGAGCCAAGGAAGGGTGGCAAGAAGCTGGGTGGAGCCTTATAAAAATGGGTGCAAGTGGAACTGTAACATGTAGCTACAGTCTTTTTCCTGTACAGACTAGTTGCACAGGATTTACAAGCATTATTTCTGCCACACTTAGGGCTTTGTTATTGAAGGAAGGGGATCTCCAGTAAGGAACTGTGAATGCAAAGGACTGAGAAAATATTTTAAATGAGAATACAGAAGAGCAATTGTTTTGATGGCCAGGTCATTAAATATTGCCTTTCAGATTTATCTTATAAACTTAGTTAGATTTCTACTATCTTTTGATTTTGCTTTATGATTTTTGGAGACAGGGAGTATGTTCACTGATAAACTCTGGAAGTCAGTATTATAATCAATTTATTTCAATATCCTTGCTGCTAATTTGAAGGGGGCACATAAACAGCTCCTTGGATATTTCCAACTGTAGTTAATTTGGATCCTAGAAGGCAAAAATAATAGAGTCAGCCTGGAAAGGGATGGAGGGGGGAGAAAAGCCTTGTGCTTCAGCACCCCAGAGCCAAGGACCAGCTATTAGAAGCCTGGCACCCCGCTGGGCGTTTTCCTGGTCACTCCCAGGGAGCTGGAGGGGCAGGCTGTTCCCAGGGGAAGGCAGCCAGGCTCAGGCAAGGGCCCAGATCACCAGCAAATTCCTGGTGGGGAGGCAGGTCTGAGGCCAGGTTGAGAAGTCAGATCAGTGTCAGAGGCCAAATCAGTGGGGTGATTCGGGCAGGGTGAGCCAGGCATGGACCAGGCTCCCACGTAGCCCAGGTGAAGAGTCTGAGACTTCTTAAAGCTTTCTTGCACATATCTTCACTGCAGTCTGAGCCAAGATCAGAGTGCTGCACTGTAATGGGGTGGGAGCTGTGGGCCCATCTCTGTGGTGAGGAAGGGGAAGGAGATGCAGACTCCAGGGATGAGTGGAAGAGTGGCAGCAGAATAGCTGGTCAAGCAGAGATCAGCCCAAATGATCTGGAACAAGGGAGTGATGGGGAGGGGTATTTTCTTTAACCATGAGCCAGAGAGACGGAAATTGCAAATGGCATTCAGTCCCAAGTTACAGAGCAAAGTTATTTCCTGATGGCAGTCTAATACATGAAGAAGGCAGGAGAGAATTGCTATTTCCTCTAATCCTCATCATCTGTGTTTCTATGAGGATATTATTTACAGTGACTTTCAGCCAGACTTGTCAGAGCAGCTTGCTTAGGTCTATTACTTTTGCAGGGAGTAGACAAGGACACATCTGTGTGACAAACCATTTCTAAGAACTTAACCTCTTTTTGCCTTGGTGGTTGCTATGTTGTCTCCCACTCATGGTGATCTGTAGGCTCTTCCAACTGCTGCTGTTTGTTTGGACTATGTACAAATAGGTCTGCTGGCAAATACTATGCAATCCTTTAAGTGCCATTATAACTCAACTAAATCTGTGCTACCTCCAACCACTACCACAACAGTCCTCCTACCAACCAGTTCATCTCTCCTGGAGACTGCTTGGACTTATCCTCTCTCCCAAAAGTCCCTCAAGGACACACTTGAGACTGGATGACTTGTTCTGATAATGGCAACCCACACCGCCAGTTATCTATCCTACTACCCTTTTGTATTTATATCGCACGCAGATGTGTTGTTGTCTATTCCCTACAAAGGTAATGGACTTCAGCAAGCTCCTCTGACAGATCTGGCTACTTGTGTCCTCTCACAAATTTTTCTATTAAAAGGCCATCTGGGATCAAGTTATGTGGATGTCTGGGCTAGAATCAGCCGCCTTCTACTCTGTTTTCCTGTGAAGCAGGTGAAGATGTACACCTGCTGTTATAGCGTGTTTATCTACAGAAAATGACATTTCTGGGATGTGTCAGCTCTTCTGCACAAGTGCAGACGAAGATTATAGTTGAGTTGTTGACATGTTAGAGGAAAGGTTGCACTATATAACTATTCCCAGGTGCTAGAATCACCTTTTCAGCTGCAAAGTTTGGACAGCATTTCTTGAAATTCTTTTCAGCTCTATCTTCTGATGTTTTTGTTTGTTTTGCCTTTTTTTTAAACTATTATTATTTTGAGGTAGAAAGTGAGACATATGCCAGTTTTAAAAACAGTATTTTTAACAGATAGCCTTTGATTAGCAAGAAAGGATCAATCAGTCATTACCCTAATTTACTTTCTGTTGGTGTGTATCCCACTGCAAGCAAAAGAGCAAGTGTCTCACAGCCTGCTAGCTTGTTCTGTTAGGCCAAACTGTGTCTGATTTGAGGTTATGGTTTACCTGACTAAAGATATCTCGCTCTCTAAAAAAATGTGTGGTTATTAGAGGGGAACTAAACCAGATCAAATTCTTTCCCTTCTCCTCCCCTCTACCCCACCTCCAAAAAAGAAAAAAACTAAAGAGAAAAATGGTGGGGCTGGAGGTAAACCTATGAAGCAAAGAGCAAAATGGAAAACAGGAGTGATTGGGATGCACTATTCTGGGCGTGAGATAACGGATGGATCTTTGCTTGTCTGTTACCGTGTAATGCCCTAACAGAGTAAAATTCCAGAAGTTCATACTCCATGTTGTCAGAAGCAAATATTTCTTTGCTCCTGGAAAGGAGTATCAAGAAGGTTTATAATTATCCTCAGAATCTGTATAATGAATAGGGCTTACGTTGGGAGTCAGGTTCTGGCTCAGCTGTTTGCTCACAGTGTGATTTTTCTTCTCCTTGGCTTGCTTACCCTAGTATGTAACTAGTGTTAGAGCTCTGCTGGGGCATCAGGTGATGTGATTTTTATTCTTTAAACAAGATCTTCTCTAATGCTAATCCTGGGTGATTGTAATAACTAGTTTGTTCTCCTGGAAAAATAGGATTATGGCACAGACATCAGGTGTATTAAAGAAGTTAATCTGTTTCTGTTTGAAGAAACTATAGTATTGGAAAACTATATTGTTTCCTGTATTTTTCCTGTGATCTTTTCTGGGTGAAATTATTTGTCTCAATAATGCATGTCACCTCACATTAATTCTGTCTGAGGGCTATAATCTGTAGATTCATGAAAATATTACTTATCAAATCAAGACATCTATATAAAAATATTTTTTTGCAATATAAGGACAATACTGATTCTTTCTCAAAATACTTGGCAATGTTACCTTTTAGTTGAAGTGCTGGAGACACCGGGGTTTCAGTCACTAATGATGTACAGAATGAAGTACATGCAATGCATTGACTATTGTCCCATCCATTTGCAGTCCAGTCCTGACAGAACATCCATCATGAGCAAGACTGTAGTATAATTTCACAGTTTGTTCAGTCTTTGAATTTGTTTCCAAGATTTAGTATCGCCAACACGCATACCAGTATTGACGATAAAATTGGACTGAAGTTACTGAAATTCTTTTAGTCTAAAACATGGAATGTTTTATCAGACGGTGCGAACTTTCTACTTTTACCTTAGGTTGTATTGTGGCTTTTTACCCTATGACTTATTCAGAACCTTGTTTCTTTGGCCAAGCAATAACTTGGCACCCAGTAACTTACTGCCTCTCCATGAGTGGCAAGTCAGTGTAGTGTAGAAGTTGCCACGTTGTCAGTTTTTGTGATTTTGCTACGGATTGAGCAATGTTGTATATTAATAATTTGTATATCCCTGGCAGCAGCTAAGGATTTTGATTGAGGCCCTCAGCTTTCTTAAAGATAGCAAGTTTCAAAACTTCTTGGTTGGAGAAAAGTTTGAAAACATGCACTGAATGTGTACAAAAGACATAGTATCTAGAGACAAATACACATAACTCATTGTATTTAAAAAAAACCTCATGAATTGTGGAGACAGACCATGACCTTTGAACACTTGTGGCTGACAGTGCCGTTGTGTAGGCGTCTTAGCCTTTCTGCTGGCTTTCACACGCATGCCATTTTTACTGAATTAGAGATTTATGTGGTTTTGGTTACAAAAGCTTTTCCACTATGATTAGCTTTCCATTTGATCTGGTTGAAGCTTGCTTATGTTCGTTTATGACATAAACATATTCCTTTCCTCCTCATCTTAAAATCCCTTTTGAAATATCTTTAAAAACTTTTTTTTTTTTTTAATTCTCTTTTAGACATTATCAGATATGGTTCTGTGCTTAAGTCCTGTGGTGTTTGACTTAAGTATTTAATTGTGATTTTTTTTTTTTTTTTTTTTTTTAATACACCTCTGCATACTGCAGAGACGTGGTCTAAGCTTTTCCTCATTATAACACTGTTAGGAGCTGGGTGAGAGTTGGCAGAGTTGTTAGACTCCAAGCAGTTTAAAAACACAGGTTTCATGTTGCAGTCTCTGTAACCTAGACTTCCATGGGACTCTTTGTCACTATTAATGTTTGCACTTGTCAAACGGAATAAAACAGAATAGGAGAGGAGGCCGTAAGCACCTAAAAAAGTAGGTCAATGGGCCAGCAGGTTATTTGGCCAGACAAGAACGAGTGGCTTCATTGAATCATGCTGTAATTGTTTTTCTCCTGTTGGCAGATTGTTCTGTGCTTTAACTTCCTATGTTAGTACTTGCATCTGTATTTTAACCACTGAAGAGCCTTTGCTAGGTGCAGGGGAAGGAGAAACTTAACTTTTTTAATCAAATAAGAGATAATTCTGGTGTTTTTCATAAAATCCAATAACGAATTTAAGAGTAGCATAAGTTTAGTTTTTAAGATTCCAACTTCCTTTTTAGAATTTAATATGCTTGAAAGTGTTTTTTTTTTTTTTTCAGAAGTGATACAGATACACTGTACAGTGAATACATTTTATTTTAAGAACAGTAAGCAAGGCAGATAGAAACAGGATAAAGATGGGAGAAAAAAACCCCTGATTTCATGTAGCTTTAAAATGTGGAAAGGAGCACGGTTCAAGGGAAGAAGCTGAATAACTAAAATGTAATGGTGTAAAGAGACTGGAGGATTGTGATCACTTATGCTGGTGTTGAGTTTTTTTATGGAAAAAGTGCATTTGTAAGGTAAGTTTGGAATACATTCCTGAAAGTCTTTTTGAAGTGGGTTTTGAAAGAAGGGGTTAATGGCTGTGTCTGAAGGAGTAGCAATAATGCAGCTGGGCAACTTTGCTAGTTGCCAGCAGCAGCCTTCTACACATTCTGGAGTCCTGAGAGTGACAGTTTTGGAGATGGAGAGGAGAAGACATAACTGAGAAACCAGGAGAGGCCCGAGTAAGAGTTTCAGTGGAAAAGGTGTTTGAATAATGGTATAAACACACACTTTGAAGGTATTGAGTAGAAATTAAGTTGTAGATGGTATGGGTGATAACTGAATTCAAAAGTAAAAATGACATCAAGATTAAAGAAAGGCACAAAGTAATAGCTTAAAGCAGAGATGAAATTGTGTCAGAATATCCTGCTTATCAAGGAGAAGAGCTTTAAAGCAAGGTGAATTTGGATAGTGAAATACTTGGAATATTTTTAATAAGTAGAATATTGCATTTGTAAATTACTTTTGTTGAAATGATTACTTCTCTTTTATTACAAACCTCATTGATTTTAAAACTCCCTTTTTTTATTTTTTCACAGTTCAGAATTTAATGCTTTTCTGCAGAGGAGGATACATCTAACTCCACATTGTTCTTCAAAGGAACCAGGTTTCATCCCTAAACCTCACACTTTAACAAGTCCCAAAGTGTAAAAGGTAAAATTGTATTCTTATGATTAATAAGGTTCCTGTGGCTTTCTATTATCAACAACGAAGGGCTGAGTAGCAGTGTTAAGTAGTGTCTTTTGTTCTCCAGAACACAACTGAATTTGAATCTTGGAAACTGACATAGTCCTTGTATTCTGTAGTGTTTGCTTTAAACTTGACTGGTTTCATTGGAATGATCTTTGCAGTCTTACCCATTGACATGTATAAATGCTGAGAATGTTCAGTGTCTTGCAAATTTAGATGCAAAGACAGAAGGGTCAGGCTTTGAAAAGGCAGAAACAAATGCACTACAGGTGCATTTCCTGTAGCCTTGAAGTTCTTTTAACTATTTGTCTGGGCTACCAAATCTAAGTTGCCAGTTCTGACATAGGATCTGTATACTGTAACAAGTGAACGATTTTGTTGAATTCTAGAGATTGAGTGCTTTGTTAAAGTGAAAATACTGACTTTTAAATTCTGATTCTGCATAATGAAGATGTCAGTTATGTCACAGGTGAAAGTTTTCTCTATTTAGCTGTACATGTATTTTTCTTTTGCAGATCAAGGGAACAATATATCATTTGTCCTACAGAATTTTACTCTTGATCCCTACAATGTTAGGTACCAAATTAATTTAAAAATTAACACACAGCTAAAAGTGTAATTAGTGCATACCTGTATTAGCACATACTGTGTAAGCTAAATGAAAACAAGTTTTTAATTGGTGTCTTGATTTTAAACTTAATTCCATGCCAGTGATGGTAGTTTGCTTTTGCTGCTGAGCAACTTGTCTGTTGTTGAATACTTTTGGCAGTTCAAACACTTCTTCATAATTTATTTTCCTTGTGCCATTTCTGGCTGGTTTTCAAATAGTGCAACTTCACTACTTTCTGAAACTTGGCCAACTAATCTGGGGAATTGAACTGTATGGCCAGTGCAATTCTCATTTTGAAGAATTGGAGTGAAGGAATGGTTTGCTTCCAGTGTGTCTTCAGAGCACTAAATTTTGGAGAATAAAGGCAAGATGAAGTTGGGCTGTATTAATTGAAGAAATGGGTAAGAAGACTCATGGGGCATGTGGGAAAATCCACATGCAGACCTTGTGACGCTCCTTGAAAGAGATTGTACTGCAGCTCAGCTCTCCCATTTCATTTCCTGCTGCACTCATGAAACTTTGCGGGGAAAATACTAGTCTTGTGAAGCAAACCTGCATAGTACATGGCTGTTGTGGGCTCTGAGGCAGTTTGGTTGAAACATAAACTTTCTTCCTCAGTTTCCCCATATATTAAAAAACTGGGATAAGATTTTCCTGGAACATTTTGCAGACTGTCTGAATCATGGGGTTGCTGCCATATTTCTTGTGGTATTAACACTGCAAGTTCTACTGGATTTGGCACTCTCAGAAACAAACAAATCCTTCCTTCTCAGAAACTGTGAGTCACTAAAGTGACTAAACCCAGTTCCTTTGAAATAAATGCGATGCCGTTTTACTATTAAGTTTGTAACATAGTAAAAATTACTGAAGATCTCCAAGTTCAGCTCATAAAACTTCTTGCTGCATGGAGTTGTTCCTTAATAACTGACAATGTTACAGTCTTGCTGCTCTATTTGAGCAGTGTGTGACAACTGACTTTTCTATATCAAAGAAAAAGGCTTAATTGTATTGGTTTATGGTTGACTTTCAGCCTTTCTATAACCTATGTAATTTTGTAATTTTTGGATACCTAAAATTTGGTCCTTGTTGAATTAAGTAGCCATATTAATTTTATATTAATTCTCTCACTATTAATATTTCATTCGCATTCTTTATTCAAATTTATATGTACAGCTGGAAAACCAAAACCTTCCTACTGAAACTTTGTAATGAAAAAGTGACTGCTTTAAAAAACGGCCAGGTTAACTAACTTTCTCACAGTATGGATATCACATTCTAACACGTATCTTACTGTTATTGTTTCACATGTCTATTACAACAATGTGTTCAAGTAAAATATAGTAAGAAATAAATTACGGCTGTAACATACTATATCCCAAATGCTCTCTGTTTGCACAATTTCTAAGGAGAATGCATTATTACTGAGGAGTGTGTTTTACATCTGTTCAACATTCAAAATTATGACAGTCTTTTAGGTAAAAGTTAAAATAAAAATGAAAGGCTGTATCTGAATTCAGAGTCAGAAAAAGGTTTGCATTTCTTTAGTCCAGACTTATTTATCACAGGATTTAATAAAACAGTGTTCTCTTGAACTCTGTCATGCAAAATGAGATACCAAATTCCAAGTTACGATGGTGATGGAGACTGCAGTAGAGAAGGCAAGAGAGCAGAGCTGGAGGTTGGAAGAGAGGGGAAGGTTAAGAGCAGCTTATAGAGCAAATGAAAACTTTGGTATGCTCTAATCAAGAACATGTTTGTTCCTCCAGAGTTACGTTTTGATATTTCTCCTTCTCTTATAGGCAAACGTACAAATGTCTACCACAAGACTAAAGTGTGATATGTTATGTTTTTTACCATAAGCACCCATAAAATGAGCTCCATTGCAGACAGGTATGTTAATAGGTACTGAGAGTTTTGGGGGGATTACTGGTCAATGCTTTCTTTAATAACCTTTTTCTTATGGTTAATATATTATCCATTAGAGAATATTCATTTATGCAAGAAATAAGAGGAATGAGGTTTTGGCTGTTTTTAACAAAGTTATTTTGGTATTTGTTAGATGTGTTGTTTTGTAGACATTGGAAGTAGTGATTTTTATTGTTCAAGATGAATCTTAAAATGTTTTACTTGCTTTCAACCATGGAACAGCATCTGTGCATGTTGAGCTGATTTTTAATGTGTTTTTTTTTTTTTTTAATATTTCAATATTTGATTAAAGAAAACAAATACATTTAAATGATTAGTGATGATGCAGATGATAGTAAAGTGACCTGCTAACCTATTTCAAGGGAAAAGTAATAGCTGAGACACGTTTTCTACTTGATTCCTTGAGCTGGACTTTCTTAGCAGCTTAAGTGAACATCTGTCTTTAATATTCTGTGTATTACCACTTTTGAGGCTTCAGGAAATCAAAGTTGTGTCAAATTTACAGAAGGTTAAACCCAATTGGAATAAATAACAATAAAAGCAAAGAGTGAATCTTTTAAAATGTTTGTCTGACTTGTCAATTCTTTTGGTGAAGTTTTGTGGCATTTCACTGAAACTTCGGCCTTTTGAATATACGAATTCCTTTTAAAAACTTTATGTTTATGTAGTAGCGGACAAAACAATTACATCCTAACATCACTGCTTATTGTAATGTACAATTGCTTTATGATTTATCAGTTATAAATCAGAGAGATGATGTAAGCTTCTTAGAAAGACGGTTACTTGCCTTAAGGGAAGGAAACATGAGGATAGACAAATTAAGGGTGGACACACAGAGGTCAGTGTGGGCAACACTACTTAGACTGAAAGCAGATGGAACGAGTTAGAGAAATAAAATGTGAAAGTCCATTATACGGCAGTTTTGGAAAACAGAAGAACAGTTTTGGCTTGACTTTTAAAACAAAAGGAAATGAAAAAAAGGTGTTGGAAGTATACTGAGGCATCTTCAAAGGAAAATGCATTCTCATTTTGAAATTTTAATACCTCTTTATCAGTACATGGACAGTTGTCAAGCTGAGGAAAAGTTACGTGATGCTTTCTGAGGAAGCAAATATAATGAATAATTATTGTTACTGTTTAATGTTGATATTAATTCTGTATTTATAGAATTACATATGTGGATGAAGTATAGCATATTCCTCAGCTCTCTTCCATTAATAATACTTCAGTGTTCAAGAAAAATGTACTTTCTTACTATAAATATTTCCAATAATTAGAATAGAAGTTGTCAAGAAGTAAATTATGTATATCCTCTCTCATGTTTTCAAAAGGGTAAGGTAATGCAAATAATCAAGAAGAGAGAAAAATAATTTAAGTAGTGTTCAATCAAGTGTTTGCATAGGGTTGTAAGTTCTTGCTAGAAATAGTCTGAAAATCCTTTAAGTTATATCAGAAATGTAAGGTTTTTTGCTTTCTCTTCAGTAAATGTCCTATAAGGAGAACTTCTAGCAGACTGGGCTTCAGGTTATTGATGATGGTCCTTGTGAGACATCACAGTTATGTGCTTCAGTTTCTTGAAGTAGTGGAGATGATGAATAATGAGCTTTTCTCCCCTCCCCTTCATTGCGACTGGACTTCACAAGAGAGAAACTTTATATTTCAACATTTATTTCTTTTTGTTTCTTTCAGAAATGATGGAAGCATTTTTGATGGGCTGGTGGAAGAAGATGACAAAGATAAAGCGAAAAGGTGAGTTTTTATGTTATTTAAAGCTAAGATGTGTCCTATACTTGTGCACTGGAACTTACCAGGGTGATTTCTAAATAACAAAAATGTGATTCTTTTATAAATAACTATATTGCTCAACAGCATTTCTTTTACTGTTATTCTTCAGACATGTTGTGTATTTATTTATAACTGTGGTTCAGTGATTTATATTTTTGTGCAAGTGCTTTATTCCAAAGACTTAGCTGTACCCCTTTGTGAGAAGGAGGAAGCCATTCTTCAAAAATGATGTCTGAGAGATGGAGTAGGTGTTTTTGTGACAGTTCTCACAGCAGAAATTCTTGAGGGGCTGTTTGCATCAGGAACCTGCCAGTAGTATGCAGCTTATTATAAGAAAGTTTCATAGTTGTTATGAATCATTTTCTGTTTTGTTTTTCAGAGTGTCTAGAAACAAATCTGAAAAGAAACGTCGAGATCAGTTCAATGTACTTATCAAAGAGCTGGGTTCCATGCTTCCAGGTAATGCTCGGAAGATGGATAAATCCACTGTACTGCAGAAGAGCATTGACTTTTTACGGAAGCACAAAGGTAATTACTTGTAACAATAAAAAAATATTTGCAAATTCTTAATTTTTTAAAAATTATATTCACTTAGTACCTAAAAAGTTAACAATTTTACAACTCCTCGAAAGAAATTGTTCAAAAATATAAAGACCTCATGAAAAAAATATATTCTTAAGATCATAATTTAGGTTTCAGAGATATAACTATGTTTTTACTAATATTTTGCAGAAGCCAGTTCTAATATTTTTTTTTTGTCCCATAGTTGTCAAAGAAGTCTGTTGCATAAAGAGCAGCATTTATTTTTGAAATAACCTTGAAGTTTTTAGTTAGAATATGGTTGCTTCATAAGGTGCAAGTTGTCCAAGTTTTGCTTCACAGGAAAACTGCTGATTCATTTCAGTGGAAATACTTGCTGAAAGTACTGATTTTGATGTTTAGATAAGACTCGTTTGATCAGTTGGTTTGTCTCTCCATAAAGCAAGGCAAATAACATAAAAACCTAGTCCAGGGGAACTTAGTGCTCACTCTCTTCATGTCAGGTATCTACTCAACTGGCTGCTTTAACAAAGATGATAAGGCAATAGGGCACTGTGGTGTCCAGCAAGTGTTAATTGGGTAGGTTGTTTGATGAGGGAGGGTGGCATGTGGTGGGCTTACAGACTGGAAGTATGGGCATTTTCTTTTATTCTTTTAGCTTGAAAAAAACCCCCAGAAAATATGTAAACACTTTTAGCTGAATTTTCTAATTTTCAAGACATATCCACTGACATATATAAGCCGATGAGTGTGTGTTTGTTGTTTTGTAAACCATCATGTGAAATGTCAAAACAATGAATGTCTTTGAACATCCTTGCTATGTTTTTTTTCTCTGGTTGTTTGCATCAGTTGATGGTGGGATATACCCAGATATGTTGTACTGAAGTTCATTACAGATTGTTATTTCTGTCACGAAAAAATTCTTCCACCAAGCACACGTTTATGGCTGTTTGATATTTATGTATATAAAAAAATCCCTGTTCGTGATCCTATTCTTACTGTGGCACCTTGTGGTTCACACTGCCAAAAACAAGATTAAAAGATCAAGAAAATGAACTCTTTCACTAGTTAGCCCATTTTCCTGAGTAATTCCTGAGCATGCATCCTAACTAGAAAGTACTAGGAACAAAAGAAGCAGCTGTAAGGTTATAAAATAACATAAGTAAAGCTATTGAGTGGATGAATAGGTATGTATTTATCAACAGTATGTGTGTCAAATTAAGGTGTGATAAATATTTTTTCATACCCTAGCATGTCTCTTCCATTAGTATTATGGTTCAAGTAGCACCAGATATATACTGAATAGTGCTATTAGAAGGCTAAATGTGACAATTAAAATGGAAAGGGAGGGGAGAATAATTTATGTGAGAATTCATAGGTTTGGGGTTTTTTTTGCCAATTAAATATTGATTAAGGTGTTTTAATTCTGAGACACATTTGTCTCATAGCAAAAAGAAAAGCAGTGTGAAGGCTCCTTTTCTGTAAAAGTCAGTTCTGTAAATTATAAGGCCTTTGTGAAAATTGGTTCTGTTTCAAAATCACTTAATCTTGTATTGTTGATTCCTAACATAAAATAGAGTGTAAAATGAACACGTGTGTCAGCCAGCCAGCAGCACCAGTCATACTTTTTTCTTCAAGGTGCTTTCCAAGATTATTTTTTTTAACTATTATTGTGGTTATTTTTTTTTTTTTTAGGATAAGGGGAAAAAAGCAGCTCTGGAGATGGATACCTTTTAGGGCATGGTGCTTTTGTCCTTCACCTGGTGGGACAAGAGTGCAGCTTTGTGTGACTGCACTGATCATATTAAGGTCTCTAAAGCTCAGGCTGCCAGTGCTTAGTAGCATTGCTCTGCACTGGTTTACGTTAAAATGTTTTGGACAAAATGTTTGCAAAGATCAGAAGCATGTTTTGTCTCCTGAGGTGCTTGGATCTGTTACAATAAAGCAAAGTGACCCTAGCTGTAAATGAATTGTTCAGCACTGATAAGCTGCTTTATTTTTGAAAATCCTACTGTGTGCAGCCACCAGGTTTTGATTAACTGCGCGGCTTCTGGTTCTTTCTGGACCGTTTCCACATTGACCAGGCTTGGTACTCTGGCAGCAGCTCCAGATGAACTCTCTGAGCTGGTTACTGGCCAGTATGGATTCTGTTTCTCATTGGGAAAACAAAGCAGGCTAATCACACTGAAGTTATATTACTGAAAGCTTCTCTTTGGCTAATATTGCCTATCATCTTCCTTTGAATTTGTAAACAAGAAATTTTTTAAAATTATGAAATTCTGAGGAATTTCACTGCTTGTAATTACAACTGGTAGACTGATATTCATACAACCCCTAGATAGATGCTACAGATCTTTGCCCAGCTGGCAATTTCTGTTGAGGATGCTCAGTAACTCTGAAGCTGAGTTGCTTCAGATCCAGGATTTGAAGATTGAAATTTAATGTGCAAGTTTAGTTATGCTTCTCTGCCTGGTATCTAGCTCCAGAATGTGACCTCAGTGCCATTTATCTTTGAATGCAACTTCTGACAGAATTTTTAGTCATTTCTCTGAAGTTCCAAAGTGAAACAAGTTCTTTCCATGTTATTTTGGCTCTGTTTTTCAATATCATACTCGTTCTAATTATGGGAAATGTAAAAGAACACCTGTACTTGTGTTAAGATAATTCAGAATGTCATGAACTTCAGCTTTTATTTAATATAAATCCTTTCTATTGCAGAAGCCAGACTGACTACTTTTTTTTTTTTTTTTAAATTCTGAAGTAGGATGATTATATGGACCAGAATGAGCCAATGAATCAGACTTTTCCAATTCTAAAATGGAGATTACCTGTGTCCTGTGGACTGAATGCATTAAATTCCTTGAATTTTGCCTCTACTTTGGTAGATGAGCTTTTTGCTTCCGTGTCCTTTGACTTGCCCCTCAGTGTTCAATATATTTGTTCTGACTGAAAAGTTAGGTTTGGGTTTATACTTAGGTAATCCTTATTCTCCAGCCCACTCTTACTGCTTTGTGATACCATTTCAAAACAGATAGCAAAAGCTTGAACAATTTATGTCTTTTGTGAGATCTGATTGTTGGAAATTCTGGTCCATTTAATTTTTTTGCTTGTTTTGGGGTTTTTGTTTGTTTGGTTGATTTTTTCCCCTCTTGGTGTAGTTCTCCATTTTTTGCCAGTTTCTTACATGACTTGCTGTTGTTTACTCTTCTTTTAGTTACATCTAAAGCTCTTTCATAAAGTTTTCCCCTTTCAGTCTGGGAACCAAATTCTGAACTGATCCAGCCCTTTGCCTATTTAACTCAATTCCAGGTTTTCTGTGCTCTTTGAGCCATCAGAACTAACAAACTAGCTTATGGCCTTTGTACAGACTTGCTCTTTAGAAATCAAAAGCCTTACAAACATAGTTTGGTTCTTTTGATTCGTCTAAATATTTGCTTCACGATTACTTGTTCAAGGTTGCTCTTACAACCAGTACTTCTGTAATGCCCTTGTTACTCATCAGACGTGAAGCACTACGCAGTCTTGCTTCTTGTTTCAGTTATCAGTTGATAAGGAAGCATCAGTTTTCAGAACCTGCGGTCTGGTTTTGCTTAGCAGCCTTCGTTTCTTTCACCTATGTATGGGAAGCTAATTTTAAGTCGTACAGGAGTCTCTGTTCAACATTCATCTCTGTGTATGAATCAGACAGTAATTCTGTAGTGGAGTCTGTCATACAGCTCTTAACAGTCTTTGTTGAAAACCTACTCTTTTTTTAATGTAACCTTATTTACAGGAAAGAGTGGGAAGAGAAAGGGCAGTGACAATTTTTAGTGAATGACTGGGATTGGTCAAGATACTTTAGGGTTTGGCGTTTTAATGACCTAAACTGATGAGGAATTTTGGCTTCTAAATCTTTAAAAACAACACTCTCAATAAAACATTTTATTATAGTCTTAAAGGAAAGAGTATTTTTCCATTGTCAAAATCAATTACTTACTGTCATTAACTTCAGCATTACCTTGCAGTCTGGCAGGACTGTAGCAGAAACTGGTAGAAGGAAGGAGAAGACAAATCTAATAATGACACAGGGAAGAAGACATTTATTTTCTTTCTAAGGAACAGCATCTTTATGTAATGAATGAACAACAGGGGAGACAGGAGAACCTTCTGCTATTTCCTGCTGACTATATGTAGCTCAGTGGGAAAATACTGGCTTTTGGAAGTGTGAATCCTTATTTTGTATATATGTTTGTTTGTAGAAATTACTGCACAGTCAGATGCCAGTGAGATTCGACAGGACTGGAAACCAACATTCCTTAGTAATGAAGAGTTCACACAGTTAATGTTAGAGGTATATTATTTCTGTTTTTCTAGGAGTAAAATATTTCCTCACAGGGAGTCATTTCATGATGAGCTTTTTCAGTTTGATGACATAACTTTTTATTTTCATATTTTAATTCTATCTATATGTTTTCATGAAGATAAACAGTCAGAATTCCTATGGATGCAATATAATGCAAACCAGTTTTTCTTTTAACTACATTTTCAGTTACATAAAACATTGTAACAGAGCAAGTCCACAAATGAATATATTCACTGTCAAAGTGGATATTTTAAATTATCAACATAAGGAATGTGCTAGTTAAAGAATTGTTCTGCATAAATTAAAATCTTAATTATAAAAAAGGCTCAACACATCCATATAACTTGTGAGCAATAAAGTGTTTGATTTCTTTGCTTTTTACGCTTTCCAAAAATAGTATGTGAGCAATACTTTGCTAAAGAAGATTACGTGAATAGTTGGATTACTACTAGAAATAAACTTTCAGTATAAGCTATCATTTCTTTGGAAATGAGGATAAGACATTTGTATCTTGTCAGTGAAACAATTTCTAATAATAGTTAAATGAAAAATACTACAGGAAATTAACATTTTTTGTTTTCATTCCATAGTTAAACCTTTTTTTGAGGCACAGATCTACAAAGTAAAAACTTCTGATTTTCTATACTTAAAAAATTTTCAAAAAATCCCCTGTGGTGAATTTGCATATTTTTTCCAACAAGTTAGTGAAGTAGTTGCTTCTGTTTTTCAAGGTTTTTTGTATCTGTTTCTGGTGTTTCTCAGGTCCTCTTACAAAATATGTGTCCATAACTAGTGACTGTAAAGCTAGAACAATATGATATAAGAATTTTTTCAAAGATGTGAACTTTAAAATTTCCTATTTAGAAATACAGTTCTCTCATACTTTTATGTTTGGTAGCATTCAACTTAAACGTAGTTGTGTTATGTTCAGTGGAAATAAGTTTGAATTAAGTAGAAGATAGGATAGTCAGAACAGTATCTCATGGTTTTCAAGTCTCAATAAAATCTCGCTGCAAGTTTCTTCTCTTGAGATTGGGAATATTGAGATTTTAAATACCAGAATTCATTGACTTTACCACCACTTTTAGTTCTTATCTTAGTTTTTCCAGCTCTTCTTGCTTTTGTTTCTACCTCATTTTTCCAAGTTTTCCGATGTTTAAAATGATGATGGAATTAAAAGTAGCAGGCAGGCATAGTGGAAGATGGGAACAGTGGCTAGGTGTATATGGACTTGCTTCTGAAACCACAGATTATTTAAAAACAGGACAGTATGGTAATTGTAATGCTCATAGTGTAAAAGCACGTCTAAGAAGTTTTAGTAGTGAAAGGCATTCTCATTTTCATGATTAAACTAAAATTGGTCTAAATTGTTTTCCATGTTGAATATAGCTTAATATTTTAATATGTTCTGTTTCTTTTTCTTTAACTGCCCATTATGTTTAATTTCAGGCTCTTGATGGTTTTTTTTTAGCAATTATGACAGATGGAAATATAATATATGTGTCTGAAAGTATAACTCCCTTACTTGAACATTTGCCAGTAAGTACAAATTGCTTTCAGTAACATACCAGTTTGTCTGTGGATGGTGTTCTGCTTTGAGTACTAATTAATCGTTAGCCTTGTGGGCATTAATAGAACAGATATATGCTTTGGTCTAACGCTTCTGCTTTTTCTTCAACATGACTCCTTCCTACTGCTCTGTCTCCTATATGAAACATTTCCTTTGGAAATACAGAATGCAGCTGGCACTGTGTTAGGCAGGGTTATGAAGTGCCAGACTAGCATCAGTTTCTCTTCAACATAACTGAAATAGCAGACTTGACTGCAGGAGACCCTTTCGAGTTCACACCTGTCACAGCCTCTACATGAATCAAAAGAGTATTGCTAGAGAGATATATACTTAGAATTTTTTTAAACTACTTTTTTACTCCTTCCCTGCCAAAGAACTCTTATAAGAGTTCTTTGCTGCTGGTTCTGATTTTTAAGCTAGGTGTATACGTTGGGTTTTATTGCATTCACTCATCTTTAATCTTGGAGACATTGCTCACTGATAAATTTAACATTCTAGTTTTTGAAGTTACCTTTGAATAATGTTATTCTGAAATGATGCAAATTAATATTCAAACATGCAAACAACTGATGAGTGAAACAGTGAGTTCTTTTCTAGAGAAGGACAAGTTATTGTGAAAGGCTAGTTGTCTTACTGCGATAGAAGTATTTTGTAAAACTTGGAGAGACGTATTTAAGAAATGATTCTGCAAACCACATATTCCCCTAAGGTATGCATATCAGCCTGAGATTTTTGAAAAATGCAGAGGTAATTGTGATTTTTTTTTTTTAAAGTAGAATTTAACAAGTTCTCAGAGGCACATTTGTTCTTTGCTTTTAGGTGTGATTTTTATATTCCAAACATACATTCTATGATCCCTCTTTTCCGAGTATTTAATCAAATGTATTTATGCATATAATCAGTTGTTCAATTTTATTGCATTCATCTCTGTTGTTCCCAGTTTATGTACCTAGTTGAGGAGCTGATTGTGAAATGTATTCATAAAATCAATTGCAATTGGATATAATTATTGGTAACGCAATAACATGTATGATGTAGAGAAGAGCTGTCTTTTGTTCTAAGCATTTCAATGTATTGGATGCCACCAACAGGTTACATTACCCTAGAACAGCACCCTATAATTTCTAATTAAAATGCTCCTTTACTTGGAATTGTTACATCCCAGACAGGTTAACACAAGCTCCATTGTACTTTAACATGTACGTATATCTGCTGTGTTTGTGGTGTTTTTCATTAAATGGTTCACAGTGTCAGAATTAAGACAGATCAAAGTGATTTTGTTTTCTTGCAAAATACTCATGTGTATTCCAGCAGGTGGCTTTGTTGAGTCAGTAATGTTCTTCTGAACTGTGGAATTGTTTTGCATTACAATAGTAAGCTTTGTGACAATTGTAAGTCTTGCATTAGTTTAAAGCTTATTAAATCTTTTTCTTTCAGTCTGATCTTGTGGATCAGAGTGTATTTAATTTTATCCCAGAGGGGGAACATTCAGAAATTTATAAAATATTGTCTTCTCATCTGCTGGAAAGTGATTCATTGACACCAGAATACTTAAAATGTAAGTAGTTATTGCGGGTTAACTCCAGTAGGCAGTTCAGCCCCACACAGCTGCTTGCTCACTCCCTCCCCAAAGTGGAATGGGGAAAGAATCAGAAGGGTAAAAGTGAGAAAACTGGTGGGTTGAGATAAAGATAGTTTAATAGGTAAAGCAAAATGAAATAAGGCATTAGGAAAGCAGGGCTCCAGCACATATAATGGTTACTTGGGAAGACAAGTGCCATAAGCACAGTTGTCTCCCCCTTCTTCCTCCTTTCCCCAACTTTTATTGCTGAGCACAATGTCATATGGTATGAGATATCCCTTAGGTCCAAAGTACCAGCAGTGTCCCCTCCCAGCTTCTAAAGCACCCCCAGCCTACGCACTGGTGGGGTGGTATGAGAAACAGAAAAGGCTTTTGCACTGTGTAAGCAGTGCTCAGCAATAGCTAAAACATCCTGGTGTTATCAGTGCTGGTGTAGTCATAAATCCAAAACACAGCACCATATGAGCTACTGTGAAGAAAAATTAACTCTATCTCAGATGAAACCAGTATGGTAGTTGTGTTAAAAATAATCTGCTTTTTATTGCATGTGATCAGTTCTTTTCTTCCAGTGTTATTTAAGCCAAAAACATATGGCTGAGCCTTGAAGAACAGTAGCACTTTTTGTGTTGTTTTTTTTTTTTCTCTGTAAAATTTTCAGCATTGCATTGCATTTCACTTTCACTTTCCCATGTATAAGAAATGTTTGTGTTGTAGTGGTTGACAAGAATAAAAACGTAGCAGCCTAATGGGTTTTGGAAGTGCATGCTTTAGTAAACTTGAGTTTAGGACAGCTGCTTCTTTAAAATAGCTCTTTTTCAGGGGATTTCTGTATCATTATCATTCAGACCCTTCGTGCCGAAATTGTAAAGGAGTTCTCCTTTTCTTTAGGTTAGTTAATATCACGCTGGTTAAAAGCAGAGGCTCTAGCCATTTGTAATCACAACACTTAAGACTATCTCAATAAGAATGCAGCTTAATTATTCCTGCTTTCCATTTCATGTTGCCTGTGTGCTTCATCAAGCATGTAGCCTATTAATTTGTTTATTCTTTTCTCAGCAAAAAATCAACTAGAATTCTGTTGCCATATGCTGCGAGGAACAATAGATCCAAAAGAGCAACCTACATACGAATATGTAAAATTTATAGGAAATTTCAAGTGTTTGAATAATGGTAAGTAATTTCAGCAATGTTAGAGTGGAATACTTAGGCAGCTTCACAACTAAACAGGTTTGGGACCATTATGCAAAAGTTAATGATGAACTAAAACCAGTCTTTCAGAAGAATAGCTCGAAGCAGAGTTATATCACTTCTATATTGTTTAAACAAAAAAGAGGAAAAATTTCCTATTGAGTTTTACAGGTCTGTGCATTTGAATGCAAATGTAGTAACCACGCTTAATGTTTTCAATTAAAGAAAACTAGTATCTTGTAAAACATTTTTTAAAAGAATGTAAGAGAAATTTAAGCAAATGCTTCAAAATAAAGAGCCTGAATTTAGTTAAGCATAATCTGTACTTAGTAAGGTGACTAAGTAATTTGAAGATCAGTGGTACTGAGTACCTGCAGTTCTCGTTATGCACTGAACTGGGATGTAAAAAGTAGGTTTCCCCCTCATTTCAATTCCATGCTTTCACTGACAGGAGTTACCACTCAGATGAGTGGATGGGCATGTACAGTTTTCCGCACTGAGTTCCTTCTCCCTTCCATTGAAGGTATTTTTATTAGTTATATACTAATATTATTCCTCTGTACTACATCTCTAATCTGTTTGGCCAGCCTGTGCTGACTATTTACTTGGAAGGTATGTTTATTTGGTCAGCAAGACAAATGGGTTGTGCATTGTGATCAGTAGTAGATCTTCATAAAGATCATCCCCAAAAATATTATCAGAAACAGTGTCTTGTAAATAAACCTATGCATTTTTATGTGATACCAGTATTTTTCTCACAAAAGGGGGAGAGGTTGAGTCTCAGTGCCAAATGCAGGTTTGTAATATTATAGCAGAGATAAGAAACAGTCCTGGAAAGGCCAAATATGGTGCTAGTCTTGGAAAGAGGAGGAGATGGGAAACTGCAGACCTATCGGCTGCAATTCAATATTGGGAAATATTCCAGAACAAATAATTAAACTGTATGTAAGCTTCAGGAGGCTAGCAAGGAATTGAATAGCAATCATTATGGATTTTTCAGGTAGAAATAGCATCAAATCAATTCAGTTTCCTCTGCCAAAGAGTAACACGCTGTGTGGATAAGAGGACAGAGCATAAATAAATGATGGACTCTTTTAATATGCTTTTGACAGTTATCATATTCTGGTCTTGCAAACATATAAGGGAAGCACCTGTTAACTGAAATTGCTACAGAGTAGCTGCAGAAACTGGTTGGAAAGGTTACCAATGTTCACTATCAAAATGGAGTTTTAATGGACTTTTGGATTGGATCGGTATTTTCATTAATGTAATGAATAGTGGAACATAGTTTGCAGTCATGAAATGATGCAGGAAGTCTAAAAACAAGATAAAAATTCAGCCCCAAATTTAAAAAATATATTATTTTTGGGGAAAAAAAAACCCAGACAAATGGACTAAGAACAAATATAAGTTACTGCATTTAGGAATAACAAACTATATGAGCAGAGGAAAACGTTGCAGTCAGCTAGATATCAGTCCTTTAGGAAAAGGAGTTATGGTGGAATGTAAGCTGAATATGATCAAGTCACCATGTCCAATCACCAAATTGTGAAAATACAAAAGCCTTTCTAAAATATATTCTAAATCATGTGAGTTAATCCCACTGTACTTCCTAGCACCCATATGTCCTCATCCAGTTTCTGACACTGTTTATCAGGAGTAAGTAAAGTAGTTGGAGTAGAGCAATGAAAGCAACCAGAAATTTAAAAATGTAACTTACAAGGCAAGATAAACTGAAGAACAAAGGAGAAGGGACGAAATAAAGAGCAAGGAAATTACCTCTTTTCTTTCTGATGGAAAGAGCAAGGAGCTGTAAGCTTAAATTGCATGAAGAAACTTCAGTTGAAGTTCTAATCTAGAGTTGAACTAAAACCAGTTAGACTTGGAAGAGCCTGACAGCATTTTGGGGTCACCATCATTAGAATTTAGTAAAGATAAACTAAATTGATATTTGTTGAAAATGAAGGATAAGGTTAATCTGTTTCGAGATCTAGTCCATCCTTTGTCCCCTTATGATTCCATCCATTTCTGTGATTCAGTAAGTGGAATTTATTTGCAGCTTGGTGTCCAGATTCTTTTATGTACATAATTGTTGTGCCTTTTATTGTTCTGTTACTCAGTATGTCTCCAGCTTGTGTCATTTGAATGTGATGGAAACCTAGAAAATAAATACTTAGCTCAGAGTTCAAAAGAAAAAGTTAGCAAAACCTGATACAAACCTGAGAAATTTAAAAGATATTTTTGAAGGTGTACTCCAGTCATTTTTAGTAGCTATGAACAAAAATTAGAATTATTATTAATTTCTTAAAACTGCTTTGTCAGATAATATCATTTTAACTGTAACAGGTCTTAGTTCTTTGAGAAAGTTACTTGATGGTTGTGTTCCCATCACTATTCTACAGCTACTATTCCTGTGCATATGTGTATGTATTATATGTACCATTTTTCTTAATGCATGTTAAGTTATGAGCAAACCACATTAAATAAATATTGGGTCATTTTCCAATATGTTTACATTGTAATCTGTGCTGACCTCCTCTCCTCTGTCTTTCCCTCAGTTCCCAACTCGGCGCACAATGGTTTTGAAGGAACTATTCAGCGATCGCACCGGCCTTCATATGAAGACAAAGTTTGCTTTGTAGCCACAGTTAGATTAGCTACACCTCAGTTTATCAAGGTATGTACACATGAAATTACTTTTGTATCATTTTTAAATGTACCCTGAACAGCAAGACTTCAGAGAGAATGCACACATTTCAGATAATACTGATGGAAGGACCATAAGGAATTTTATTATGTGAAACTTGAAAGTGTCTGTGTCTCTTCATATGCAGATAGGATAAATGTTATGCAAAGCATCAAGTTAAGTTGTTACGGTGAATGCCATTTCTAAATAGTCATATAAATTAATAATATGGAAGAAATAAATTTAGAAGTCCACAGGAATGTAATTTAGCAAATTTAACGTAAAAAAATGAAGGATAACATCAGGATTCCACTTTCACTGGAGAAATTAATAGTTTTAGTTGAAACTTGGATGTGAATTTTATGGTGCTGATGGTCTTGTAGTTTCAGACAGAAGCAAATCTGGTGGGGCTTAACAAAAGCTTACATTACTTGCTGGTAACCAAGAGCTGGGTTTGAGGTAATAGAACTCCTGTTTCGTTTCAGTACTGTTATTCAGTAACTTAGTTGTTTAAAGAGAACTTTTTGCTTAACTGCCAATGAAGTTTCCAAGTTTAGAATTGGATGTGTATGAAATTTGTAGTTTACTAAGTATAGTTCTGTTCCTCACCAAAATCAGTCAAAATAAATAGTCAGGATACAGTACAGGATAGTCTGTGATTGTGATTCAGATTATGTTTTATACAAATATATCATTCAATGTACAGGATAGTCCACCATCTAACATTTGCTCTTGCAATTCAGTTGTAAAGAAATGCCATGAAATGTATATGGCACATGGTTAAGATGCTGTTTGTCATGCAGAACTCTATGAACATGTAAATATTCTGCCTGTATGTTGAATGCACTGGTGTCTTAAACTGAAGATTGTTGGTGGTAGCCTCTGAAGACGTGGTCTATATACTTGGTACTTTGAAAGCATAGTAGGGAACCTCTAGAGAAATCATGTAAACACCTTCAGTTCTGTCAGGCTGAAGAGGAGTTGAATCTCTCCAGACTTCATGTCAGAGAGAGTTTGTTGTTTATTTTTCCTTAAGCCATGGAAATCTTTCATATGACACCTTTCTTCCCATGCAGGTCTAAATAATGTTCTTCCTGTTATGCCTACAGGTAGTACAGATGTTAAGCGTGTAATTTTTGCTACATGAAATACTTGGGGAAAGGAAACCAACCCAGCAGTATTTGCAAATATTTTTGTCTTTTAAATCTGACAGTTTAGAGTGTACTATAGTAAAACTTGTGTTTTCTACTTCTGGAACAGAACATTTGGATGTTGAGGGACATCCATTTATGATCTCTGAGATGTCTCGGTCTCCTGAGAGGAAAAGCCTTACAGATTATACTCTGGCCAAGGTTTCATTCCTCTACCTGTATTTCTGAGCCCCTAGTGCCTAAGGAAGCTTTCATATTACAGAGATTTTAAGATCCTCTTGAGGGTTTCAACAGCTACTGTTCATCTGGGGAATCTTCTTGTGAAGAAGACTAATGTTAGAGTTTTAATCTGACAATACTTGTTTATACTCTTTTGATACCTTCTGTTGCTATCGAGGCTAGCATTGACTAGGGTCTAGCAAATAACTGTTGTGTCAGGAACTTCACCATCCCAGTAACTTTACTAACAGATGAGTGATGCAGCCAGTAACGAGATGTGTATTTTAGTGCTGGATTGCCTTATTTAAGGTAGAACCTGCCTGCTCATCTGCCACTTTTTATTTCAGATGGTATATGGTTCTGGATTTTTTTTTTTTAACCTAAAAAGTAATTTCTCAAGGATATACAATGCTTTTGCAGAAAGCCATGGTATTCACGAGAATAATCACTGAAAGTTTACATTTTTATTTTCTGCATATGACCCCGCCACTTTTGTAACAAAATATGCCACAAGTTTTACTCCCCTCTGTCATTTCTTTTACTTTGCTATGAGTGGTGCTTTATTAAGTGCTGTTATCTTAGGAAAGTAGATGAGCTTTGGGCTTTAGGGGTAGTTTCAGTTTTGAAGTCAGTCTTTCTAGCTGGAGGTCACACCAAGAGTCATAAATTTGTGCCCAGAGTGATTTTGTTCACTACCTCCACCATATAGCTTAGTTCTAGTCATAGTCTTTAGATTTTACACTAGTGAAGGTGAGGAAAAAACATTGCCCAGACACGTTCATTTTTTTTTCTTTCACAGAAAGAAAACTTAGAAATATCTGTTTGAAGAACTGCAAAATATCCACCTAAACTCTTTGTGTTACAGCCTGCAAGAATGAAAGGGACGGTGGTCCCTTTGTAGGAACAACAGTCTTCTACTGTATTTTTCCACAGGACTATTTGAGTTAAGATGTTTGCAGAGCAGCAATGTGCTCATTTGTCCACATCTGCTGTGAATTTTACGTCAGTGCAGCAGTGGCTTCCATACTGTAGTCTTTAAGGAAACTGTTGTGGTATCTGATCACCAATAGAGACTACTGCATTCCTGGCAATGGGAATACCACTGCAAGCTCCTACAAGTGTGACAAATGTGTGCAGGTGTCCAAAAAAGAAAGATTTACTGACCTCCGATTATATTGTAATTCTTTGAGGGGTATATTTGTATGTATGCATGTATTCCATCATCCATCTTTCTTCTTGTAAGGCAGTACTAGAGGAGTTTGCAGAAGAACCGACTGGCTGGGGGTACTTAGCTCCATTACTGTCTCAGCATGAGGCACAGTACTTGGTGGGGCATCTTTACCTCTCTGAAAGGGGACAATAGAAGTTGACTGACATGCACTGATTGCACATATGTCTGAACAGAATACATTTAAAATTACATACAGAATACCTTGAGGATTTGTCGTAATAGTAGAAATACAATCATTCTGTTACTTTTCATGAGTTCTGGAGTGTTATTTGTAGTATGTGTCACTGCCCTCAAGCCAAAGTGCTTTAAAGTACCCTGCATTCACTAAAAGGAAGAGTCCTATTCCTAAACTCAAAATAATGTGACCATCTTGCTAACATTGGGTTTTACCCATTATAAGGATATACTGTAATCTGAACGTCTGGTGAGAGTGTTTCATCTCTTCTTTTGCTTGTTACAAGTTAAAAGCGTAACTGCAGGGACTGTTGATTTCTGCTCCTACTTCTGTGTTTGTAGATACTGAGTTTGAGTTTAATCTCACACCGAGGTTGTTGCATTTAAATCAACCGAGTGTCATCCTGACACAGCTGAGATTAGATTCTACCTCAGTACTATGTATCTAAACAAGCAGAACCAATGAATCTGTCTAAAAATAACATTATAACTATTGTGGAGTTATCTACTAACTTTAGGTAAGTCTGAATTTCGAAAGATCTTATAAATTAGACTAGAGCAGTTTTGAGAGAGATTTTTATTTTTTTTACTTTTTAGGAAATGTGCACTGTTGAAGAACCCAATGAAGAGTTCACATCTAGACATAGCTTAGAATGGAAGTTCCTATTCTTGGATCACAGGTGCAATTCCTTCTATGTATAGCAGCAATAGTAGCTGAATCCCAGTGGTGACTGTAATATTTAGAGTTCACTAATCAGCATTAACTACTCATGGCTTGTGTTGGGTTTAATTTTTAATTTTTTCCAGAGCACATACTGTAAACAAGAAAAATTATGTAATGAAATAATTTTGTTTAGGTTTTCTGTGTGAAAATAAAATGACATTAATTTTTGTATTAATTAGGGCACCTCCGATAATAGGTTATCTTCCATTTGAAGTTTTGGGAACATCAGGCTATGATTATTATCATGTGGATGATCTAGATAATCTGGCAAAATGTCACGAGCATTGTAAGTATGATTAAGTTGCTAAAACAAAGAAGTTTGCTTTACAGATGTTCAGTTTAAAGTTTGTTAAATTGTACAACTCCTGTAGTAAAATTTTGTGTTATATGTCAGTGAAGTGTCTTTACTCCTATTCATTTGACATTATTGTACTGCTGATCTTCATCTGTTTTCTTTTCATACAGAACTACAAAACAAATTTAACCTTATAGTTTAATCTTATAATTTAGAGTTTTCATCGTGGTAAATTGGAGTGCACAGCACTATCACTAATATTTCTGCACTTCTTCCAATAGCAATTAAAAGGCTTTGTGATGTTTAATAAATGCAAAAAAATGCTTAAACATGTAATAGGATAAGTTTTCTGTTTAGCTATGTTTTTCTTTATAAAGCTGTATTTAATTTTTTTGAGCATAAATTTTTCACAATATGCAAAAAAAAAGCCACAAAAATGGAAGTTTGCATTCTGCAGTTCTCTGAAAAATGCAGTGTAAATATTTTTTGGTAGAAAGCTACAGTTTTAAACCTGTTCTTAGTTGTTACCGCAATACTGGATTTAGACATGGTTTTGGACCATATGAAGCTTGTAAATAATGTTTATTATGTAATTGAATTATTTACAGACTGGAAAGACAATAAACTTTATTCTTCACTTTTACAGTAATGCAATATGGGAAAGGGAAGTCATGTTACTACAGATTCCTTACAAAGGGACAACAATGGATTTGGCTGCAAACACATTACTATATCACATATCATCAGTGGAACTCCAGGCCAGAGTTTATTGTCTGTACACACACTGTTGTAAGGTAAGATATTTTTTAAGAATCTGTAGTAGAGAAATCCTAATGATATGGCAGCTATATTGCTGGTCTTTTTGGAGGTGGAGAAACCATAGCAGTTTAAAGAATCATTGGAAAACTTTGAGATGCTTTGTAAGCAAGGCAGCTCTAAGAAATTTGTTTTTTGAGGTATGTTTTTTAAATCATCCAAGAATGCAGTAGTCATATTTGGTTTGTTCTTCTAGTTATGCAGAAGTTAGAGCTGAAAGACGACGAGAACTTGGTATTGAGGAGTCTCTTCCAGAGATAACAGGAGATAAAGTGAGTGTCTTATACAATTTTATTTTACCTCTTCTTTATTTCATACTTTAAATAATATATAAGCAAATACACAGCAGCAAGAAGTGATTTGTCCTGTTACAGATAGTAATTATTTTGATCTCTAAATAATATGACTATTTAAAAGCATCCGAGCAGTCTAGAAAGGGTGTTTGTTTAACAGCATTCTGCCCTGAACACTTACCCTCCTCTTTTCAGTTCACATGCGTGTAGTTATAACCTGGCAACATCCATAAGTCCTTATTAAGATCAGATTCCTGCAGAGTTTGATTTATAAATAAATTGAAAGCACCCATATCTGAAAAACCAAGGTCAACACACAGAGGTGGCTTAAAGGAAATTCACAAGAGGAAAGCAGGATCTGTTCCATTGTGACTCTGTCCCACTTCTTAGAAATATACAAAATTCATTTTGAATTAATGTCCTTGGAAGCTCAGTGAGTCCTAGATAAGCCAGCTTGTGTAGATGCTCTGTCGTGTTTTCCCCTGGCAGTTCAGCAAGTTTCATCTGACAGTGCTCCTTCTAGTGGAATTAACTCATCCTTTCTCAAAAGAATAAGCAGTTGACTCATTACACTGGTGTTCAGAGTGAATCGAGTTGCTAGAGGAGGAGGTCAGCTCAGCAGTGAGTCGAGTTATGTAAACTGTAACATTTAAACTATGTCTGCATGGATTTTGGTTTCTAGGCTCATGTGGCTTTGGTTTGGGTTCTCTTCCAAGGATAAAAGGCACAAATGGAAACTGATCTTACCGATACCAAACAGGCCACTACTTCTGCACAGACACCTCTGTATAAGGGGTTGATTAGACACAGCATGGTCTTAGAGATATTTGCTAACAGAAATGCACATTATGTGCTGAATCGGATAAAATAATTGTTGTTTGTGTGTGTCTCTTCAGAGTCAGGACTCTGGGTCTGACAATCACATAAACACAGTGAGTCTCAAAGAAGCACTGGAAAGGTTTGATACCAGTCCCACACCTTCTGCTTCCTCCAGGAGTTCAAGAAAATCTTCACATACTGCAGTATCAGATCATTCATGTAAGCACCAACTGTTGAAAATATAATCGCCTTCCTAGTGAAGGCTTTCTCTACTTTAATTACTTGAATTAAATTCATAACTAGCGGTTAATCATCATTTTATGAAAAGTGTGCAAATGAAAATGTCCTTTTTGATGGTTCTCAGAGATCTGCTGATCACTCAGTTTTCAGAGGTTGTACAGTGACTGCTACTTCTAAAAGTACACTAGCAGACCCTAGAACATCCTGTTTCAGTCCAGCAGATTGCATTATTGTTAGTCAGGGTAAAAAAAGAAGTCCAAGCCTTAAGCTTTTTTTATTCATTAAAAGCTTCCTGTGATTTGATTATTGCATTTCAGAATTGAGATTACTATTAACATATCTCTTTCTGTTGTAACTCTGAACATTGTCAGCAACACCAACTAAAATGACAGTGGACACTAGCACTCCTCCAAGGCAAAGCTTATCTGGTCATGAAAAGACTGCACAAAGAAGATCATCTCTGAGTAGTCAGGTAACTCTTCAGAGAAAAATTTTGTACTTAACCAGTGTAATTTACCTTTAGAAGGTATTATTAAATCCATATAACTTTTGTTTCATTTCTTCTGAAGACATATAATTTAAACTGTAACAGTTTCACTTGGAATACGTGACTATTAGAATGGTATCATTAATGTGCAACTTTGCTATACGACATTTTAAGGGAATGCAGTAATTAAGCATATAAGTATTTATTTTTGGCATTAGGATTTGCAAGGTTGTATGAATCTCTGCTTTTGCTCACACATAACTTTTTTCTATGATTCTGCATTTTTAATCTATTTATGTATATAAGCAATTATACACATATATAAAAAAATTGCCAGCGTAATGCTGTGTGTGTCCCTATAGGGAATTTTTATAAATTTATGACTCTAAGAATATTAGTGAATACTTTCATATAGTTTCTGAAATCTCGGTAACATGAGAAGATGTCATGCTTCATGTACTTGTTGCTCATGTTCCAGTTGAACTAATACGTTCACTTCAGAAATAGAATGCTTATTAAAATATGTATTTAAAAGAAAAAATTACTTTAAGAATAAATCAAATGTTTCAACTTCCAAATTTGCTGAAAAAGTTTTTCCCTTACTACAAATAAGAAAGACTTTTAAAACAGTTGTAAGTTTAATTTCTATTTTTTCCTGTTTTATACCTACTCCTTTTATGTATTTTTAGCAGTGGAAAAATTATACACATATATCATGTATATAATCAATTGCTCTCATGTTCTTAATTCTCTAATACTTAAGGTTAGATATTTCAGGAAACATTTACTTTTTTTTATCATGTTCATATGATGCTATTTTGGAATTGACATCTTATGTAAAGAAATATTTCATGTCAAGTATGAAGTTCATTCTCTTCCAGTTACAGAACAATTTTTTAAATCCTAGTCTTTAAGCTCCCAGTCTCTTGGACAACCAGTAGCACAGCCAACAATGTCTCAGCCTTCAACTTTACAGCTCCAGTCTGGTATGTCCCAGGTATGGATTAAGTTGGTTTATTGTATGCTATTTTTTAAACAGTCTTGATCTGAATGTAAGGTTAGTTTCTCTTTCAGAAATTGAGTTATCTGGTGCCAAAGTCACCCTTAACATTACTCTCTTGAAGTGAGCAAATTCTGCAATATGACACTTTTCCATTTTTTTCCTCCCACTATTTGGGTGAATATTGTTTTCAGCCTTGGCCATTAGAAACATGGATATAAACACAATTTAAGGTAAAATGTTTTAGGACATGAATTTAAAAATCCATCAACTATGCTGGTAACTTTCTACACATATGCTTATAACACAATGCAACTTATTTTATGAAGCACTTTTGTGAAATAAGAACAGTGGTATCAGGTTCAACCGCAGATCTGTGTCCTGTAGATAGATAAATAAATATCAAAAGGTTATATTGACTTGTGGCCCATAGCAGATGCTAGGGAAGAACAGAAGTGGCAAACTGGTATAATTCTAATTTTTAACCTAAGAGAGAGCTTTAACATCCTCTGTACCATGTAAATTACTAAGGCTTTTTATAGAGTCTTGGTGATTTGGATACAATTTCTTTTGCTACAGATTCTTTTCTTTAGTTCACCAATTCTGATGCATCAGTTAACTGTGAGTTCTGTGGCATTTTCATACTAATGAATTTGTCCTCAGATGATGGTTGTTAGCAGTTTAAAAAGTGCTTGATTTCTTTGCTACTGTGGAGGAGTGTATTTACTGCTTGTAAATAAAATGTCATTATTTTTGCTCAGCTTGTAATTTCTTCATTGCACTACAGCCTGTGTTTCAGTTTTCAGCTCAGTTAGGAGCTATGCAGCACCTGAAGGACCAGCTAGAGCAAAGAACACGCATGATAGAGGCAAATATTCATCGGCAGCAGGAAGAGTTGCGCAAGATTCAAGAGCAGCTTCAAATTGTTCACGGTCAAGGGCTCCAGGTGAGTTGGTGTAACTCTTACCGGTTTGATCTGCAGAGGATGTAGGCATCCAAAAGGAGACTTGGGCACTTAATTCCACAAGGTGATCCTCCCTACCCTCTGTCAGCTGCCATCTGGACCTAGTGTGCCTAGAATCCATAGCATCTGAAGCTGCTGTTCCTGAGGTACCTGGCATTTTGCTTCTGAATGCATCTGGAAGTGCCCCAGTGTATGTTTTCAATGTTGAAAAGCTCAAGCCTAGCTTATGCCTAAGCCTAAATGTAAAAAGGATGCAGTGGTTTCTGCTTCTTGCAAAGTTTTGCAGCCATTGGAGTATTAATCCAAAATATGCAAGATAAGCATTTATTTCCTCTTTTGGCTCGAGGGTGTCAAATTCATACCTTTTGTTTCTTAAGCTGTCCTAACGATCAGGCTGTGGTCCTCCCACACATCCTCCTGGTGAAGTGGTTCTACTTTGCATGGTATTCTGAAGTACTTACTAAGCCAGAAAGACAAGAAGTGTAGAGGATGCATTACTCAGTCTAGCAGCTGACTACCTGATTTCTGTATTTGAACTAATATATTTTTTTTCTAATTTTGTCGTTCTCTTTCCATCAGGTATCTTTGGAAGAAAAGAATGACCCTATCGGGTTTTTCTAGTTTAAAGCAAAACAAAACAAAACCCACAAAAAAACACCCAAACAAAACATTAAAAACCACATCCAAAACTAAAATACAGCTTAAGAAAATAATCTAAATATTTTCAGTGTGGATTGTGAATAAAGAGGAGAAAAAAATACTTCCTGGAAGTATTGAACATGTTGCTTAAACTCTGTTGAAGAGTAGGAGTTCCTGGCATGTGCCATTTTCAGTGTTTTATCGTGTCTACCATAAGCCTGCCAGCAGTAGACTGCCTTATAGATGGCATCAAAAGGAGAGTTTCACAGTTCTCTTCCCATGCCCTGTGGAGGTACCTGATTCAGGACTGCGGAAACTAGGGAAGTTATCTAAGTGCTGCACATCCTACCTTATTGCTCTGTCTTCATGTAGTTTGGGCCTAACTTTTTGTAAAGACTCGAATATTTTTGTGCTGAATTCAGTTTATTACAGTGTTGGAAAGTTCGGTATAATCATTACGATTTCTTGATTGCCAAGGAAGATTACATTCTTGATGCTCTGCCTGGATCTATTGATGCTGAGATTTTCTTAAGCTGAATTAGTTTCACTGCTGGAGAACCTACAAATAGAAATGTGATCTTGAATACATTTTGTCTTTAGACAACTGTAGATTACTTTACAGGTTAGTCTCTAAATAGTACTTTTTCTCTCGGAACAAATATAAACCTTAATGTTTAGGGCTCTAGAAATCAGGATTCTGATTCTTATCAGCTACAGTAGAATCTCTGAACACTGACCCTATATGGAAGTTGGGCCTTTTGCTCTTGGTGGCTGCAATGCTGTTTCAACTCTTCTGATAACTAAGATGAAGCTTTATCTTATATTGATACAGAATAGTTAAGTTTAGTTTCTCTAAAAGATCTTGAACAATTAACAGATTTTTCTTAAAAGCTAACTTGTAGATTTTTTTTTTTTTTTTTTCAAGATGTTCTTGCAGCAGTCAGCTTCTGGACTCAACTTTGGTTCTGTGCAGCTTGCTTCTGGAAATTCTTCGAATGTTCAGCAGCTTACGCCGATAAACATGCAAGGTCAAGTTGTTCAGACTAATCAGACTCAAAGCGGGATGAGCACAGGCCACATAAGTGCTCCACACATGATACAGCAACAGTCCTTGCAGAGTACTGCAACACAGGTAAAATTCTCATTGTTGATTTTGCTGGATAGAATATATGCTCAAAACCATATCCAAAACACAGTGGCTTCCCTGACATCCCTGTCCCAGATTTTTTTCGAACAACATCCTTTGAGTCATATTAATTTCTTCATGTTCCATGTTTTATAATTGAACTGCATTTATGTTCTTGGTAATGCAATTTCAGATCTTGTTTTTATTTTAAGACTTAGGCATGTAAATAATTAATAACAAGTAGCTTTTTTGAAAGACCACTATCAAGAAAATTTTTAGCTTGCCTTTCTTTTGAATGACTATGAATTTTCTGTTGACAGAACACATAACATGAGATCTGTACTAGATGAGCTTGAAACCCAGTGTCCAGACAGAAAATAACTAGAAAAGCATAGGAACAGGACAAGCATATATAGGTGCTTCTGCAGTTGACTTTTCTACTCTTCAGCAATTTTGGTCAGATGCCATGGGTGTATGACATCTGTAATGTACTCGGTTTCTTTTGATTCCATGTAAACTTTTTAAATCCACAGTATCTCGTAGTGAGTTCTACAGCTTTACTTTCTGTGAAGTATGATTATGTTTGTTTTTCAGATTTGTCACCCAGCTCATATACTGGGAAACACATTGAGCAGCTATTCACTTTTCACCTTCTCAGTCATACGTGATTTCCAAGTCCCTAATCACGTGTATCCCCATAGAAGCCTGTTCTTCAAGCTGAACACTTCCGATGGGTTTGACCAGTTTGTGTATGGAGGCTCCTTATACCCCTGATCTCTGTGGTCACCCTCCTCTGTACCTTTATCCAAATTCCATACTTTCTTTTTGAGATTTGAGAAGAGGCAGACTAGTGGTGGACAGTGTTACTCTCTCAGGAGTGAGCCAGTTCCAAACTTTGAAGAAAGAAATTGATTGATGTGATGTGCACATTTTAGTTTAAGACTGGCACAGAGGTGCTAAAGGCGTGGACAATAGGATCTTAAATAAACAGTATGCAAGTAGTTGAAAAACTCAGGGAAAAAATAACCTGGAGAAGTGGTTAATCTAAGAGATTTTCAGATGTCCGAGTGCCAATCCCACCTCCAGACTCTCAGTCAGTGGAAATACCTGTGTACTTTAAATTAAGAATTAATTTGTAACAGAAAAATGTTGGCAGTTGTGAAGTATGGGCAATGGCGGGGAGGAGGACAGCTGTAGTACCTGGCTATTTTCAAATTACTATCTCATAAAATATTTTTTCTTTTCAGCATAATCAACAAAATGTACTTAGTGGACACACTCAACAGTCTTCTCTTGCCAGTCAGTCACAGAACACAGTCTCGGCACCTTTGTATAACACTATGGTGATTTCTCAGCCAACAACAGGAAATGTGGTCCAGGTTCCTTCTAGCTTACCACAGAACAATAACCAGAATGCTGCTGCAGTGACCACTTTTACACAGGATAGACAAATCAGGTAAATCTTCAAGACCAATACTCAGATGACTTGCTATAATGAATGCTTACATAGCTACATCATATACAAAAGGAACTAAAGTAGCATTAAAAAAATCACCTGATTTATTATTGTAACTCTGTTGATACCACTGTTACACTAAACTTTGCCCAAATGAACATGTCCACAGGCTTACCAAAACCCATGTTGTTACTGCAAAGTATGAGCCTGACAAATCTGCATTTTTCAAGTGCATGTCATACTTGATATTTTCTTTTCCTAAAGGGACTCCAAATGACTTTTTCTATCAACAGATTTTCTCAAGGTCAGCAACTTGTAACAAAACTTGTCACAGCCCCAGTAGCATGTGGAGCGGTAATGGTACCAAGTACTATGTTTATGGGACAGGTGGTGACAGCGTACCCCACTTTTGCTGCCCAACAGCAGCAGCCACAGACTTTGTCCATAACACAGCAGCAGCAGCAAAGTCAGCAAGACCAGCAGCAGCAGCAGCTCACCACAGCTCAGCAACCAGCTCAGCAGCAGCTGACCCAGCACCCCCAACAGTTCCTACAGGTAATGCAGTGTTCTCTACACATTTTTCAAAATCCTGACACTTTAAGCATTGCTAGCTTATCCATTGCTTTATCTGAAAACAGAGTGCTTAAAATAGGAACCTATGAGCAAGCGTGATGCATGAGATAAGTTTATTCTGCAGCCATTCTCTAAAATCTTACTACTTAAAGGAGAGGTAGTTTTTCCTGCAATTTCACTCTCTGCTTTGTTCTGTTTTTTTATCTTCTTCCCTTTGAATTGCTGCTCTTGATTGAGCATGGGATGAAGAAACAGACGTTTCCCTTTACAACAGCTTGCGTTTTCTTTGCATTCACATATTAACGCAAGAAGGTACAAGAGATGATCTCAGGCAGCATTGGTTGGTCTGGAAAGCAGCATGCAGAGCAAAGCAAGGCATGTCCTCGTAACATGAGGCATGAACGTCTCTCTAGGCTGCAGGGAAGGCTGAGCAGCAAGTAGCCTTGTGAGCAGAGAGTAGAGAAGAGCCTTGTTTTAGTGGGAAAAAAAGAGAGATTGGATCAAAAGAGAAGGAAGGCAAAACCTGAGGAGTTTAGAGGTAGGAAATCTCAAAAAACCCCGAAAACATAGAAAGAATTGATGGGGAAGTCTGTTGATGCCAGTAAATGAATCGCTGGCACATATCTCATCAAGTAGGTGATGTTCATGAGGGAGATGTAGTGGTAACTAGAACACTAGAGAGGAAGTGCCTCCAGGAAGATGTGGGCTAAAAAAACTTTGATTTGGCCTCTGATGTTGCCTTCTCCAAAGAAAGATAAAGTCCATGTAACTATCGTGATACAGTTTGTGCACACTCTTAACATTCTTTAACTACTCTGGGAATGTATTTTTTTTTTTAACTCCTTAAGAGTATGCATAATTAAAAGTCCTTATTTTGCAAGTATTTCTTACTGTGTATGGTCTCCCATTTGCACTAAATTTTGGATCCTGTGTATAGGTGGAATATATACAAATGCAGTAAGGAATTAGAGGCTTAATCTACATTTATGCACACAAGGAATGGTTACTAGTTCTGTGTAGGGCTGAGTAAAATTTTCTTTCACTAGGTCACTGACAGAAAATACTGACTTGTTAAAAAAATCTTTCATGGGAACATACCAATTTCAGTCGTGCAGCAGGCAAAGGATTTTCAGCTGCAAGTTGACTCAAAAAGAGAGCTGAAGAATACCTAGTGATTTGAATTTCAGCACTCATTTATGTAGCGGGAGCCTCTTGAACTGGATCAAACCAGAGTGCAGATTTGAATGTGTTCTCTGATAAGTCAGATAAATACCGTAACAATAGTGCTGTTTAGCAGGTTTGTATATCTGTTTCTAAATCTGAAAGTTCATACAATTTTGACTTAATTCTGGTGAAACAGAAGGTTTGTGAAAGATGAAGATCTCCAAAGGTCTGTTCCTGGCCTAGAATTTCTTTCTAGGCAAAAGTTCAGTATTTTTAATAGAAACTATTCAAGTGCTAGGATTTGAAGTAAAGCAAATGCTCTTTAAAAAGGGAGAAAAGTGCTTTTCCTGCCTTTGCTCACTGGAGCTTCTAACAGTCTGATTCTGTAGGTGCAGCAGTCGATGTAGTTTACTCTCTGCTGCAGAACGTGTTTCAGAATTGAGACGTCCAAGTGCATTTGAACCCATCCTTCATTGTTTCTCTTCAGTAACCATCATCTTTTGGTTCTAAGAAGATTAATATTAAAACTAAGTACTATTTCCAGTAGTAATAAATCGCCTTCAAAGTGGATGTTTGGGTCTGCAAATGCGGCAGTTTCTTTCAATGTCCTTTTTGGCTGGGGAGGGATAAATGGGATCTGTGACAAATCATGCACTGTTTTTTTCACTTGATTGCAATGACAGCCACCTGCACGTGTTCAAACAGATTCCTTAAGCCCTGTTATGCTCTTGTGGTTTGAAATGGAGACAAATTGCCATGTGTTCCTACCCATCGTCACAGGAAATTACGAAGCTCAGTCACAGCTGCTTTATTAATTGGTCAGATGCTCTAATTAACTTTATCAGGATGAACTAATCTTTGTACAGTGTACTCAGATTAAATAACCAAATCAGAAGTTTATTTTGATTGAACCCTTACAAAAAGTTAAAAAGCAGCTAGGCCTGTATCTCTCAGTGCAGCAGGAAAAATAATCTTTTTCTATCTCCGTGTTAATAGACATCCAGGTTACTTCATGGAAATCAGTCAGCTCAGCTTATCCTCTCTGCTGCTTTCCCACTACAGCAAAGCACTTTCACTCAGTCCCACCACCAGCAGCATCAGTCGCAGCAGCAGCAGCAACTTGTGCGACACCGAACTGACAAGATGACTGATCCTTCCAAAGTTCAGCCACAGTAGTGTGGGGCTCTGCCTCTTTTTGAAGCAAACTACAAGGAGGGGGCTGCTCCACAAACAGTTGCACTGAGGCTACCGAGGTAGCAGCACAAAGGCTTTCTAACACCACAGTGTTGAGATCTAACTTCTGGAATCTGTTAGGAAAAGCCAGAAGATGATGATGGGGACGCGGCCAACTTTGATAGTTGCCCCAGTTTCTGTGTTCTAAAGGATTTGCTGCCATGTGTTAATTTGTCCAGGTGAAATCACAAAATGTGACTGAAATGCTGAAAATATTGGTATTTTTATCAATCCTGTACATTTTTAAAGTATTGAAATGGACATGGAGCAATTGTTTGAATTAGCAGAAAAAAATGCCAGGAATATAGTCCAAAAACCATCTAATTTTTTTCAGATGATTATGGGACAGTAAATATTTTGAAAATGTTGTGTGAAATCCAGTTCTCTGTTGTACAGATGCTGTAAAATATTGTGTATATGTCTGCATAAAAGGAGAAAGAGCAAAATATTTTATATGATGCATGAAAATGTAATCTGTTATTTGTAGGTTTGAATATGTTTCCCTAAATTCTCACGCCATACTCAGACTAATGTTTTTCTCTGTTCTACCCTTTTGTTTACAACATGATGCATCATTGTTTTCACCCTTAATGTGGGCACAAGTCTCTTGTTTGTGCTTTGTCTGTGATGTCAAGGTTTGTTCGGTGAGGTATAGTGTGTTGGTTAGTTGACTTCTCAAGGTTAAATTATTGATGAAGCTGTTTGAACTGGTGAATCATGCATCAGGGTTCAGGACATTCAGATTCATAAATATCATCCATCATTTCATAATTAATTCATCGTTTTGTTTGAAAAATAGGAATTTGCACTGCTTTCTTGCGGATGGTTTGGAGTTTTATTCCCCAAAGCTATCTTTTGATATAGTTCATAGTTGGAAATATTTATGTAAAAGGTTTAAAAAAAAAAATGACAGTAATTTTCAAGAATGTTTCAGTTATAGGAGTAATTTGCACAAAAATATATTTACATTTAATAACCTTTTGGGCACTTTTTAACCACTTTCTCTGTGGTGAGAATTGTAACTTGTTAAAATATGTTGGAATCTTTTTATTCTCCTTCAAAAATTAGTCAGAACTAATTCAGGGTCATTTTAACAACAACAAAACCCATAGTGCCTTGATTTTAATTCAGGTGATAATGTTGAACATCTTGAATTACAATGTCTTGAATCTGTAACCATTTTCAATTTTGAAGTCTTAGTACATTGTCAACCAAACTTGTTTATCTACTTCATAGATCTTTCTGTATTGTGTTGATTTTAATAATGGTCTGAGTTGAGACCATGAGCATTTTTGAGTGGTACTCCCCGTCAAACACTAGCCAGAAACACAGGAGTCTCTAAAATCTCAAACCTTGAAAGTAATACTCTTAAAAGATAAAAAATCTAGAAGTACAGAACTCGTTTTTGCAGGAGGAAGAATAGTAAGCTGATTTATTTTGTTGCTTGTTGTTTTCTGGCTTTGTTTTGTTCTGTTTTGGTTTGTTTTTTCAATAATTTTCATAGCATTTAAAGTGTGTTTTGGGGGAGATCATGATTGCATTTAACACTACCAGGCTATTGATTTAGGAGATATCACTGAACTAAGACTTCAGAAGGCAACTTCACTTTATCAAGAAAATAAAAAGTTCCAACAGATGTGCTATTTTAAGTAAATGTTCAGTAGGTTTTTATGGTAACTGGTTTGTGGAAGCTAGAACTTCAGAGGAGATTGAATAAAGGCTGACAGATCTGATAATTAAAACCAAAACCAGAAAAAAACAGTTAAAACTAGTACTAGAAAGAGAAAGCTAGGTTAATCTGGAATACTGAGGAGGAGCTGAATGAATGTAACCAAACGGTGATGGACTATTTTGTACTATGAAGCAGTTTGATTGTATTACTGGATGAACCAAACCCGCAGGAAGGTCATACCAGTTTAGCTTAGCACTGGGTACAGTTGGTTACGCTGTGAGGCTAGCCTTTGGCTCTGCACGTGCCCCACCATTAGATCGTTGTTATTCCCCGGTTATAAAGCAAGAGTTTGGCACCAAAAAGCACGGTAGTGAACAAGGAAGGAGAGTGTGAGAAACACGGTACCAAAGAGAATCAGATTGCTTTCTGCTCCAAGAAGCGAAGCCTATCGCGACCGGGAGCAAGGACCAGATGCCAATACCAAACATAGCAAGGAACACTTCCCCTGTTTAAAGGGATTTCTGGCATTCTCTGGGCTGGAGTAATCATCAGAAACCTGTTTCTGTAAAGCTCTCTCTAAGTAAATCCTGCCTGGCTCTCCTGTCCCTACCACGCCATTCCACCAGTGTCTAATTTAAGCTGCGTTGACGAGAGGTCTGTGCTATCAGTGCTTTTGCTTAATGGAAAATAGGTTAGATAAAAAAAATTTTTAACCAGTTACAATAATAATACAGCACTAAAAAAGAAAACTGGGAGAGCTTTAATAGTGCTGCTAGAACTCTTGAATAGTGGTAAAATAGGTTTATTAAGCTATTATACTGAGAATTACAGGAAATAGAGATACCAGCCAGACGGTTAATGATGCAGCTTTTTATATAAAGCTTCGTTTAAACGTCTCTTCCCATTCCCCCCTTCCCAGATACTCTGGTGTGCTGCTATAGGTCTGTTGGTAACAAGGCTAAACTAGGTGAGAGAGAAATTAGATGATGACAATAGCATGGCTGCTGAAAGAGAACTATAGAAACGTACGCTTTGATCAAGAAGCTTTTTGTAACCTCAGAGAGAGGTCATTCAATTACAGAACTACCAGCTAGTAGAGAGAGTACAGAAGATGGGGAAGTTCAAAGAAACTGGAAAAATATAGCATGCATTTGAAAACTCCTGCCACAAATCAGGCAAACTTTTTACAAAAGCGACTATGTAGAACTTGGTCCCAGATTCTGTGCAAGTATGCAGATGCTTTGTTTCACAGCTAGTGACTAAAAAGTGTATATTTAAAGGGTCTGCAGCTTCCCCTGTTGCTGAATCAATTGCTGAACTGTCCTTGAGTTTTAGTGGGAAGAGGACCAGGCTATTGCCTCTTTCTTAATCAGCCTTTTGCTTCTGCCCGACTCATTTACTACAGTCATAGACTTATGTGCAACACCCTAATAAATAGCACGATAACGAACGCTGTGATGCTGCAGGTTCTGGAGCGTAAACGTTAAAGAATGACTCTGACAGAAGGGAAGGAGTCTGTTAAGGAGAGGGTGGTATTTATGGAGAAATGGGCTGGTGGTACATAATGGAGTGAAAAAGATGGCATAGCTGCATGGAGTTCAGGAGACAGACATTGTTTGCCTGCAGTGGGTGAGGATTTGAAGAAAAGCTTCTAGGATAACTTCAGAGAAAAAGAATATAGCTATTTTTATATTATATTTAATATATATTATATTTGTATATAAATATGAAAGGATTCTAGTAGGAGCTCTCCATATGCCTTCCATTTCATCTAGAAGGTTTACCTTCTGCACTACGGTTCCAGTGTGTCACCACCTTCTGTGGGCATCTTGCCTACTGCCAAACACCAAAATTAGTAACCCAGTATCCTTACAAGAGATAGGTTTCATTTCAGCTTTATCTAAAAATGAATAAAATAAAGCTACATCAGGCAGTTTTTCACAGAAAAAGAAATTCTCTTAAGACTCAAATAGCACTTTCTCTTTTTTTTTTTTTTTTTTTTGAGTAATAACAAGCACTTTACTGAAAAGACTATTTGAAAACAGTTTATTTCTTTAGTCAGTGAAACTGTTAAAAAGGAGGAGGCATCGAGGAATAACATGCATAAAACTGTCAAGAGAAACATTTCTGGAAAATGTTTCTTTAATATGGTGATCCTTTGAGGCTCAAAGTGCAAGATTAAAAAGGCTTCTAAAACCGTTTGGCTTTGTGTTTTATATGGCCAGGGGAAGGGATTAAGGATGACAGCTTCCTTGGAAGGAGACTTTTTAAGTTGCACAGCTGCCTATGAGAGAGAATCATCTGGAGGCTTATTTGCCTGCTCAATAATTCTAAGTGTCCCTTAGGATTATAATTTGTGTGAAGATGTTCTGAAGGTTTAAAGATGTGGCCTTTTTCAAATGTTGAAGTCGATTCAAGAACCATTTATATTTTCAGAGATTTAACCCAGGTATTGTTATGAGTGTTTTAAAAGTTGTGGCATCGGGAGATGTCAAACATGTCGGATTCATAATATTTAAAATTATTATCAAAATGAGATGTACAGTCAGAGGGCTGGAAAAATGGTTATTTTGGTTAAAAGGGAAAAGAGACTAGTTTTAATAATTAACCTTTTATTTTTTTACTTATCCCTGGTGGAAAAAGTTGAAGAGAATTAAATGAATTGGATTTAAAGACGACGTATTTAAACAAATCATAGTAGATGAGACAACTGTGAGAGGACATTTGAAATTGTCGTGGTTGTCCATGAGACTGGATAGTTGCTTTTTCACTATCATGATTTTTAACACTACATTCCTTGTCTTTTTTTTTTTTCTTTTTTTTTAAAAAACAGGTGATTTTAAGCTCTGCTATGCTTCATGCTGTGTCATCTGCATGAATTTTGCCAGCATAATATGCTATATTCAAAGAAATTGTACCTAAATAAAAAGGAAGGGGGGGGGAAGGGGAAACAGCCAACCAAACACAAAATCACTGTGTCTGAACAAAATACTGTATGGCCTAATACAGAGACCCCAGCTAAGACTGAGAGATGCTGCATTAATAGACAATCAATGGGTAATTATTTATGAAACACTTTTGGGAATGGTCTTAGAGATGTTACTGCTTTGAAAGCAGTTGGTGAGTTGTCTTTTTTAAACAAGAAAGGTAAAAATTATTTATTTTCAAATATATCAGATTGAATTTTGAGTTTTTAAGCAGTGTTGATTTCACAGTGTCTTGGGTTTCAGTTTTGTATTTTTTTAACTGGCATTAGATTTGTATACATAAAACAAGCAAAAACCCTAGTGCCGCTCATATTGACGTCAGGAAATGTAGATACAGTTCCCTGGTGTTCATGTGACCATTACTAACTGTCAATTTTTTAACTGAATAAATGTAACTCATTTAAAATTTTGCTTTTTGTAGCTTCTAAGGTTCTAGAAGTTTATTTTCTGAGTTGCTTGATGTCAATTTTATCCCAGATTCACAGTGAAGCGCTCTCTTACCCTTCCCACGACTGTAACCAAGGCACGCTCTCTCCCCCACCCACAGAACTGACTTGTAAGAAGTTGCTTGATGTCAATTTTATCTTCTCTCCCCTACCCAGACAAATGACTTGTGAGATTTCAGTAAAAATGCATACTGTGTTTTTTTCTTCCCTTGTCTTTTCTCTGTATCTCTTTATAAATTGATGCCCCACTGTAAAGGCTAGAGACCTTTGATTTGTGTATTTACATTACTGCCTTGGAATTTACTCACGTAGCACTTCTTTGAATGTGCACAACTTCAGACTACTTTTGTACCTTCACTTCCACGGTCCCTGTTCTCCCCAAAGGATGGAGCAGCACTGCAGAGTGTTTGTATGTGCACGGCAGGATTTAATCAAGCAAAACCCTCCCCTCGCCTTCTGGCACGGGCAAAACCCCCTTCTTTAATTCTTTCAACTCCCCTCCCCGGGTATGGCTTCTGCTGGTGAATTGTCAAAGAATAGTATTTTTAAAGCCAGCAGAGTGGCTCAGCAGTGTCGGCTCTGCCACCGAAAAAGGAAAGTGGAGGCTTGTGTTTAGCCGAGAGCACAACTCCTTTAGAGCACAGAGCTCCGGCTTTGAAGAGCTGTGTGGTAACATGTCACCTGTCGGGGTGGTCTAACCCTCTCTCCCTGGTCCTTTTGCACTGATCAAAGTGTAAACATTGAAAATTTGAAATTACTTAAATGTTCAAGGAAAGGTGAGAGGGAAGGAAATCCTGTAATCGAAGCAATACTCCCGTAAGCTGTGTAATACTTCTACATGCCATAAGCCCCCTGCACCCCAGGAGTCAAAACAAAATTAGCTACAGAAGTGCTGTAGTTGTAGTTAAAATCTGTCAACACCCGTCAGCGATAAGGCTGATAGCAGGCAGCAAGCAAGACTAGCAGTTTTCTTAAAATTGAACTTTGGAAATATCAATATATTTTTCCATAAACTTATCAAGAAGAAGAGCTGTAACTACAACTGCTGCCACACCTGAAGCAGTGCTGTTCAATGGCATTTTGCTGTCGTGCAAACTTAGAAACAAAACCCATGCTTATATGCAAATGCAACTGTTAAGTACTTGTAAAGATTAGCAATCCAAAGGTTAGTTGCACTGAGCCTCAGGCGTTAGTGATATGAATGCCAGAAGATTTCAGCTGTTGAAGGGTAACATATAGTAAGAACAAAAATTTTCAGAGTCTTACTTGGATTCTTTGGAGCACACGGTCTTTACAGCTGTCAGACCCTTTGGCAACTATGCTTTCATTTGGGAAATAAATTTAAATAATCCAGAAGAAGTACACATCTATAGTATATGCCACCTATAGATGGAAAATGTTACAGGTTAAACGTAACCTGTGTCTCCATTAGCAAAGGCCTGTAGCTGTCACTTGCCGAGGGTGTTGACTTCAGAGGCCGTGCGAGGTCACCGATGGAACGATGGCATGTCAGTAGGGCAGGTGCCATTACATCATTGTTTCCAGGCCTCTGGAAATTAAGAAGAATTTGTGTTAGATTAGGATGCAACTGCCTGATCCTCTTAATTCAAGATTGGAGTTTTGTTTTGGTTTTTTGGTTTTTTTTTTTTGAACTATACAGTATCTGGGACTCACACAGAGGTAGGGTCAAGCACCATCCCCTTTCTAGAAACGGGTTGTAAAACCGCTCGGGTGAATCGGGCGGCAGGGTTCCCACTGCTGCGCAGCCTGCCTCCCGCAGCGCTCGCAGAACCGAGCCTCTCGCTAACGTCCACCTTCCCAGACTTGGCATCTGACTAGCAGATCTCAGAACAGCAAGCCCAAGCACCCTACCCGCCTGGTTGCGTTAGCCTAGGAAGAGCGGGCTTGCTTGTGAACTGGACCTGTACTTTGGTTCCATCGGTTTCCTTTGAAACCTGGCAGGACAGAAGATTAGAAGTTTCCCTTAATCTTCGCTTCCTGCACTTTGCCACGTACAGTGGAATGAGACTGGCTTTGCCGAAGGATTGGGAATAGGCACCTTCAAAATTAACAAGCACAAGCTCTTCTCATGTTAAACACCTCAGTTGACGTGAGATTTTTGTAACCCCCGTAGAACTGGCCACCCTTTCAGTTTTGTTTCTGGTGCCTGGAAGCGAGTAGTTGCAGGCTGCGGGCACTTTTAAACCTCTGCTGTGTGCACGGGCGGTCAGGCAGGCAAATTCCTACTTGCGAGGTTCCTTTGGCAGCAACTGAAATCGGCTGCTTCTCAGCCCAGCAGGGAGAGCTGCGGGACGGACGGGAAACCTGGGGTGGACAGTTGCCCGTTTCCCATGTTGCAGATGCAACAATTCGCAGAGCCTTCCCTTCAACAGCTGAACCCTCACTCGCTGTAGTTCACATTCTCCAGCTACAAAAGAACAAGAAATCGCATAGGTCTGTGTCGAGGTAACTAGCAGAAATTTTGTTTCTTTCATAAAGTACAAGGCAGCTTTTCTCCATTTAAAAGAGCACTATTATTTAAACTTTTTCTATGTTTTCTTCCTGAAAAGCCAGGCCTTGGCTGACTAATATACAAACCAGGTCCTTCCCCCAAAGCACCACCACTTAGGAAGCGGCTATGGGTCCCAGGACAGGAGCGTTACAAAGCCACGGGGGACACGTTGCCCCACCAGTACAGCACCGAGCCTGCTCTGCCGCCTTGAACCTCGAGATCCTTGCAATTCCCAGCCCTGCAAGGGGCTCCTCCAACCCACCCGAGAGCAGCTCAAGCGCCGCCGCTGCAGGACTGAACTACAGGCGCAGTTCAGTTCCCCCCCCCCCCCCCCCCACGAGCCCCCCGGCGCCAAACCGCCCGCCCCGAGCGCTTGGCTACAATTTCACAGCTTGAGCATCTCTATAATCGCCCCCAGCTCCCCTGCCCCCCCATCCGATCACACACAGATTCTGCTCAGCCTTGGCGCTTGAACGCCCAGGCCTGATGCTCCTGCAGGTTGGCAAAAACTTGTCAGGCCAGTATCTCAGAAGAGAGGAGGCCAGTGCTGCAGCTCGCTGCTGAAAAGACAAAAGAATCCCTTTCCATATGCCCAGCTCTGCTGTTAAACGCATTTCAGCTCACTGAGGATCTGCCACGGATGAAGGTATCTCACATGGTTATGATTTAAGAGCAATTTAAGATTTATTAATAGTGAGGCAGATAGCAGCACTTAATGGCTGATTGATTTACAGACTAACAAAGTGATTTGGTAAGGTATGATTAAAATAGCAACCTGATTACAAATTCAAGAATGACAAGAGTCACACTAATTTACTGCTAAATAAAAAATATATGTAAACACAAAATATACACACACACATTATCCGGTGAAATATATTGACATTCACACTCATGAAGGCAAATGTGCATGTTCAAACACACAGACAGGTAAAGAGGTGATGGAGGAGGCTAGCCTATAGCTAAAATCTCCCTCTGCTTGAGTTCGGGGCAAATAACTCGCAATGTATCAGTATTTCTCAACAGGTGATAACTGCAAGTTGAGATGTCAGACTTCACCCTGGCCTTCCGTCTGCTTTGGGGCCAGATGATCTTCAAGCTTTGAGGAGCCTGTGCCTGCGAGGCGTCCCAGCTCAGGGGAGATGCTGGTCACAGCCCACTGTGACCTGGGAGAGCTCAGGGGGCCTCGCTCAGGGTCGCTATTTACAGGGTCCGAGATAACTGAGTTTCGCCAGGCACTTCTCCGGTTCAGCCCGACTCGGGCAGTGAAATACCGCAGTGCTGCCTTCCCACCGGCGGCACAGGCCTAGAGCTCGCTGCAATTCTGGCGTCACCCGCTCTGGCCCACAACCCAGGTGCGGGTGCCCAGAGGCTGTCAGGAGGCCACGGATGGTCACTGTCCTTCCCAAGCGACAGGGCAGGCAGGGGCCCGGTAGGTTAAAGGGGCTGCCTTAATGCCCTGGCCCACCGCCTTTCGCAGTCCATCTTGGGTTGGCACGTGGCCCGAGGGGGGATTGCACCGCCCCAGGGTCTTCAAGGGAGAAATCGCTTGTACCAAGAGGTAACTTCCACTTCGGGCACAGGGTGGGGGAAGGAGGGGCAGGGGATGAACCTTTGCTCACGCGCATCAGCACCTGAAGCGTCGAAACACAGCTCCCCGCCCCCTGAATTCAGAGGGCATAGGAGTCACTGCAGCATCAGCCCCCCCCAATCTTCTTGTGTTCCGCCTTCAGCAGCCCCCCCCGTGGGGCGTTTCAGCCCAGGGGCCAGTGGCCCAGCTCCCACCTTCTCCCAAAATGAGTCTTAGCTCTAGTAAGCAGGCTTACACCATCCTACCAACAACATACCCACCTCTTCAATTAAGACCCAGCTACTTCGAGGAAAGTCCAGGCAAAGGAAAAGCTTTCTAACAAAATCTGGAGGTTTTTGATGCAAACTCACCCTAAAGGATAAGACACTTTTTAAATATATATATATGGATGCACACACACTCCTTAAGATACTACCTTTATCTGAAGTCTCCGGGTATTTCAAGGCAGAACAACGCCACGCACCTCTCCGACAGAAACACAAGAAAGAATGATGAAAGCGGCCAAAATCCCGACCCTGGCACCAGCCCCCAGGCAGGAGCGGGGCTCGGGGTGCGAGTGCTGCGGCGGAGGGGCACCGTCCACGCTGGAGGCAGCACGGCAGACACGGTGCTGCTAAAAATATGTCAGCGGGGTCCCTCTGCCACCTCCAGCCAGCTGCAGCTGCATCCCGACTACGTTCTTGAAATCGTGAAAAATTCCAGCAGGCCCTTGGCAACATTAAATCACTGTAGCTAATAGCAACTACTAAAGCACCTTTCAAAGCTTTTGTTAAAATTTAATGAGTGATCTAAGTCTGCAACAGAGTTCCAAGGATAAGACAATGATTGTGCTCTAAATAAAAAAAAGACTAACTCCT